AGATGTAGCTGGTTATGTAGCATCTTGTAGCATCGTTTCAGGTTGTGCCGCACAAGTGCTTGGTTGCAATCAACAAAAACGGTGAACACTTGATAACACGTTGGAATTAACCATTCTGAAACAACCAACATGGAGGTTGAGCTATCAAACACATTATTTTGGAATCAAAGGCTGTGAATTAACCTTAATTAAGACACAGGGATACCCCAACTGGTAAAGGGCAGTTGAATGGCTTAATTCTCAGCAATGAAATCAACAGGCATTCCCTGAATGTTCTGTTCTCAGTTCTATTCAATGGGGGTATGGTAACCACCAAAATCAGAGAAAAAACGAACTCCATTAACAGAGTGATAAGTCACCATTCTGCCTTTTTGGGGTTACTATAACCACGGTTTGATGTTGTTTTTGAAGCCGAGTGCTTTGCAACTTGGTCAGTGAACAAATTTGACCCGGCCCGAGGCATTTAGGCATTTTCCGGCATGTCCATGTCCCATAGGTTTGTTGACCATATAATAGATTCATGTAGGTTCTAAGCTGGGCCAAGTGTATTTGAAGGGCGGTCAATGACAATGACAATGTTAAGATTTCTCTGGGGAGGTTTTCCAATGTCAACGCTGGAATACCGCCCGAGAGTTGAATAAGAATCCGAAAGCTTGAGGCCCAGGGTTCCTTAAATTCTGATTTTTAAATCCCTGCGAGAAGGGTTCATTCCATTTCATCTTTCAGGGGGAATGTGAAAAAACAATGTTTCAGAGCCTGAAAAGTTGCTTGTGAGGTTCACCAAAGCTGTGCCGAAAAAACATTTTTTCAGGTCGCGTTGCTTTTCCGCAACCGCAACCCAAGCCAAACCCCCCAGTCCCTTGCAGCCCAGCCAGCTCAGAGAGAGAGAGTCAGAGAGAGAGAGAGAGAGAGAGAGAGAGTAAGAAGGCGAAATTCTCCAGAGGCAAGGGTCCTGGAGCACAATGGTTAGAGCGTTGGTTTTCGGGCTTGAAGGTCGCGAGCTCGAAGCTCGGAGGAGTAAGTTGGGCGGGGCGAAACAATGTTTCAGGCTCCCAACTCTATCCGCATGTTGATTTTGAGGGGACTGGAAGCAGTCCAAGCATGCGCGGAAAAAAAAAAATCAGGTTCTGAAAAATTGTTGTTGTTGCAAAGCCCGATTTCATGCAATAAGGCCATAACGGGCCATTCCACAAAAAAGGTACCGCAAAGGCCAGTTCCCATCCCACAAAACCCACAAAACCTCACGTATCAACAGCAACTTAAGAAGTTGGCAATCCTATCCCAGGGTCCCTCAAATTCTTAAGGTTCTATGTGCTTGGTATAGCTGAATATATGTAGCCCGCATTGGATCCGAGCCCCTCAAACTCTTATACAGCGCATTCTTATATAATACTCAAGCTGTAATTGATCCACCCTGATTGTTTATTTGGCGGGTTCCCCCCAAATAGGCATCATGGATATTCATAGATATTTTTTGGTGGGTACTCGTCATTCTGCATACCACCTTTTGCATCGCTTTCAAATTTAAAATGTAGCACTTCTAATGTTCACCGGATAGTGTGACATAGAAGATTACCATCAGAAAATTATGAGTCTACAAATTGAGATCGAGAGATAGATAGATAGATAGACAGATAGATAGATAGATAGATAGTTAGATCATGGTTATCAAATTATTCACCCCAACCTGGTCAAAAACATCCAAAAAACAAAATTGTGCCAACACAAATAAGGCTTGATATTTTTTGTGTCACCGACTTGGGGCGTCCAGGATTCACAGGAGATGCGGCAGTTCTCGGTCACGAAGCTGGCACCTCGTCGTGGTCACAGGTAAGCCATCAGTTTTTGACCTGTAGAGGGGAGCAGCAATAGAAATAGACATCAAAATCATCAAAAACAGTTTATATTAAATTCCAACCAAGATTTTGCAACTTTCATTGGAGGTACCTAAAGATTCGCAAGATTGGCCATTTCAGAACGCGGGCATCGAAACTACCACAAATCACCAGTTCATCAGTTCATTGTGGGTTGAATAGACCATATGGAAAACTGAGTTGTGGCTGGTTGGTTTGTTCCTGAATCATTAACCCTTGTCACGCAGGAATGCTTCATATCCAACTGAAAATGAACGCATTTGTGAGGTATTTGATCGTACTAGTATTGTTTTGGCATGAATGTAAGTGTCGACCATTTCGATTCAACAAACAACTTCCTGCTAACCACTGTTTCGGAATTTTCCCATTCGAATGCAACGGAACTTGCAAGTTTCCCCTAAAACGGGTAGATTCAGAATTCAGAAAGAATGTAGATAGAAATGGTTCTTTGTCAACATTGGATATTCCCAAGTGGCCCTTTCAATAGGGAAAATGATGTTCTCCGAGACCTGCTCCCCAGGTCTCCAATGTGTCGCCGGCTCCTTCAGGGCTGTCACCGGATGAAGGTTGGGCGTGGGAAAACATGTGGGAATCCAGAAATTTGGAAAAAATGGAACGCCGAAATCCTATGATTTTGATGATTTTGATCATGGTTTTATCATGAAAATTGCGAACTGTCATATTTAAACAATGTTGATATTTTTTTGAGACACACCTAGAATTTTATGGGTGAATTTTCACTGACACCAAGGTTTTGTGCGCACGTGCCTTGTGAGAATCTACTGCTGGCTGACTCACCATTTTTGCAGGTCAGATCACACAGATACTTAGTGGTTCCGTGGAAGGCCCTTACCAACTCAAATCAGGATGTTGGCTCAGGAACTGACTCTGGTTGCTTCATGTTTCTTCTTATGTATATTATTTTTTTATTTGAGTGTTTATGTATTTGGTTATACTTATTTGGACTCGGCATGACTCCTAAGGCCGTTCTCAAGACGATGTCAGAAAACCCAAGACGGACACGCTGAAGATACCAACGGGCGCAAAGCTCAACAGGACGGGTTGGATCGGCGACGAGCGCGCACGGGGTATTGATGGGGTTTAGTGTGGATGAGTGCCAGGTGATGAAACCTGAAGAGTTGAATTTTGAGGTTTCAAACATATAGAAACATGTTGGATTTCATATTATGGTTGAATCAACGAAGACTCTTTGGGTGGGGACGTGAATGACAGATATGAAAGCCCAGTTGCAAGTGGACATATTAACATATTCGTATTTTACCCTCCGTGCAATCAAGATCAATCAAGTACATGATCACCCGCACTAATTTGATAAACCTTCGTGCACCGTGTTGAGCCATTGGTAACCTTTCTCTTGATGGCCAGATATCGCTACTCTCATTGCGAGATACCATCAGTAGGGGTCATCCTAGCGACTGGGCCCTGTCTGTTTTACTTTCCAAATTGTCATTGGATCGGTTAGACAATTTTAACCGGAAACCCCCATATTTAATGGTAAAAACCATGGTTTCCGGTTAAGATGTTCCCTAAAATCAATCCAATGAAATTGAAATCGAAAAAGATAGCTGGCATAGAACTTGAAATCAGAAGTGGTGAAAGTGACAATAGCCACCAATTTGGTTCCGGTTCCTAATAGGACAGCTGCAGGTGGCAGCTGTTTGGGTCACTGAGGTAAGGGTCCTGCAGACTCCGTGTTGGGGTACCTGCTGTTCCATGATTGGATGTTGTTGCCTGTTGGAGCCCACCAATTTTGACAAATTGGACTTCGAACAAGCCAACCAACCTAATATAATATATATATAATATGTCATATATCCTATAAGATGCTTACCAGCTCTGACATCAAGGGGTTGTTCAAAGGGAACTTGTTCCGGTCAGCTGGGCAATCTGTCCGATCACATCGTTCAGCGTGTAGCAGGTAACGGGATCAGGGAGCTTGACCACAATTTAGTGGGGCCATGGGACCCGTGGCAGCCTTTAAGTTGATCTCTATTTCCAGCCATGCGTCTGATTCTCACCATGTTTTGTTGGATAATTGCCATGGTTCAGTAAACAATAATGATTCACCATGGATTAACCATAATGAATCACCATGGATTAACCATAAATCACCACAATGGATTAACCATAGTGATTCCGGAACCTGAACAACCTTCCGCGGAAGATCCGGTTTCCACGCAGGAAGGGCTCTAACAGCTCGTCCGTGTCCTTCGTTCCCACGATTGAAGAGGAGTTGAGCGAAGAGTTAGGGCACCAAGAGAGCCACCTGAGGGAGCGCTCCTTGGACGCCAAGTTGGGACGGAACTTTGCTGATGTATTTGATGTGATGTTGGGTAACTATGGGTACTATAGTTAGTTTTATAAAACAAAAGAGCACAACTAGGAAACGTGATGCAATGTTGGTGTTTCTTGGGGCTGATTTTGTAAAATGTAACCTATAGGTGTGGACATCTGATACTTTGGTGTTTGAGTTGCGGTAATCAAAATTACAGTAGATGGTTGTTGGTCTAGCTGAGATATGTTGAGAGAATCTCTGAACTTACAAATCAATGGTAAGTGGGTTTTGTTTTGGCCCAGACCTTTGATTGCGTTGATTTTTTCAGGCAGTCGTCCGTCAGAAACGTTGTGGGCTGCCATTGCCTCGATGCCTTGATTCAATGTTGTGTTTCAGCTCGTTGCTGAAAAATGGATCAACATGGATCAACATGGATGGTCTTCATCATTTTTCTGGTTGGTGGTTTGGAACATCTAATATTTTTCAGAGGGGTAGGTATACCACCAGCCAGTTTTGTTCAGCCTAAGAATTTTTACCAATCTGTGGGCCGCACTGATGGGTCTTGAAATGCAGCATCTGCAGCTTGTAGCAGATTTGGATGGCACCAACTGCAGACGCGTCATCAGCTACTAGAAGAGATGTTGATGTGAGTCATCACCCACCCAAGTAACGTGAACTTCTGAGTCCATCCCATAATCTCATAAAGGGAAGTAATATGAAGCAATTATTTTTCCAATCCCCAACTTGTGGCAGGGCCCATGTTAGTCGGAGGGTTCCTACAATTGGGTGAATGGGGTGATAGCTACATACCGATGTTCTCCTTGTTTTCCTGGGATGTTTTTTTGTAGTTGGGCCTGCCATGGCTCAACTTCCAACCGCGATCATGAGGGCAGCATGCGTTTTTTTCTCCTCACATGATTTAGAAACAAACAAGCGGAGAAACGCATGTAATGCTGATGATCATCACCCGAATCATTAAGAACATATTGAACAGCGAGAATGGCCCCACGCAGTTACCAGTTGGTGTAGAACCACCATCTTGCTACAGATATATCAAGCATAAATCCTAATCAGCTAAAATAGTTAACACTAAAAAAAATCCCAAAGTGTGGATTTTGCCTTCTTGTGAGGTAATGCCCCCGAGCCCCCAAGGCGCTAGTCATATTGGCTTATACAAACACAACTAGGATATGCTGTTGGAACTCTGGTGAGATGTGCTTGATAAACCAACATCACTGGCAGCACCTGGTGAGACTTCGCCTCGGGGGCCTATGAGGTGAGGCCCCCCATGAACCAGAGCTGTATCCCCTCAACCCAAAGGTTCGCCAAGTGAACTGTGCGCCAACTTCGGCCCGCAGCTATCATAAATGGGCTATGTATCCCATGAAGTCACCATTTTGGGGTTAAATCACCATAAATCACATTTTTTTTTCGTTAAATCACCATACATCACATTTTTGTTGGGGTAAAATCACAATAAATCGCATTTTTTTTGTGCTTAAATCACCATAAATCACATTTTTTTTGGGTTAAATCACAATAAATCACATTGTTTTTTGGTTAAATCGCCATAAATTTCACCATTTTGTTTGGTTACATCACCATAAATTCCACCATTTTGTTTGGTTAAATCACCAAAAATCACATTGTTTCTTGGTTAAATCACCATAAATTTCACCATTTTGTTTGGTTACATCACCATAAATTCCACCATTTTGTTTGGTTAAATCACCATAAATATCCATAAATCACAATTTTCCTGAGGTATGAAATCCATTTTCCTGAGCACCAACTTCGAGTTTGTGATCGCCATGCTGCTGATCGCACCTGGCAGAAAATGGATCGTGGAACCCACTGGTTGCCACCAAGGGTTGCCATGGGGATTCTGAACCAATCCACCAGTTCAATTGAAAAAATAGGATCAACCACAACTTGCAAGGAACTCCAAAAGGACATAATTTCAGCCTGAAGAGGAAAAACACACTTTTGGGGTCTCAGACTGAAACTTCGGTCTGAGGGTGATCTCAGGCTATTTTCTGAGTTTCAAGCTGATTTGTTTGAATCTCAAACTGAATTTTGTAAGAAATCAGGCTCAGACCAGGGAAGAATTCAAGAACTACTTGGTCATCCCGATGCTTACCGTATCCCGTTCTCGTCCTGTAGAATTAGATCAAACAATAAGCTCAACAATTAAGAATCCAAAAAGTTACCCTCTGAGAAGCCTCGGCCAAAAAAAAATACCAGACTGTGGCACGCTTGACGTGTATTGGTGGTAAAAGAATGTAAAAGACATATTTTGCAAGCTTTGCACAGGTTCATGACGCATCTTGTTTCCACTATAATTATTGGTTTTGGGACCCTGCGATTTTAAGCTTGATTTGGAATTGCAAACCTGAATTTATGAAAAATCGGGCTGAATTTGGGCTGAATTTGGACAACGACCAAACATTTTCATGAAAAACTCGGGCAAAAAATCGCACTAATCGGGCAAACAATCGCACAAATCGGGGAAAAAATGCCGCAACTCATGTTTTTCAGATTTTTAATGTTTTTTTGCAGTTCAAATCCTGGTGTTCATGTTTTTTTTTGGAAATTCGAACCATGCTTGAATTATACTATATACATATTATATGCCTATCACCATGTCACAGAATGAATTTGAATACGAAGTTACAGTTTGGATGGAAACCAGTCAGATTTAGTCAGTTATGAGCTAACCGGGCTGCTGCTTTGTGCTTCTGACATTGCTGATTCGTAGGAAGGTTGCATGATATTATGGTACAGTTTCTTCTGGGATTTCTCAATTATGCACCGCCTTATCCATGCCATTGAATATGTGAAATATTTCAATACCATTGAGCCAGCATTTTTTGCGCAAAGTGCCTCGGGCTATTGTTTTAGCTCGGGCTAAAAAAATGGTTCAGGCTAAAGATTCAGCCTGAATGCATTCGGACCATTATTATGGCCTGAGGATTTCGTAGGTATATACAACTTGTATAAATAACTTAATTAAGTGGCAACCATTCTTATATCAAAGCTCTTTCGAAGTGGATGATCCCCATGAGACTTGGCCTCGCCCGAGGTGAACCTCTTGCTGATGGCGGCCCAGTTGCAGTACCACGGCTTCGTCAATGGCCATGCCATTGGCTACCCTCGCTATGCTACGAACCCCGAGGCGCGAGGCTCGGTGACGGCACACCAAGGCCGTGCTGTTTGGCGGCTGGAAACCAGATTTTCCCTTTTTTTTGGTGTGTTTTTGATGCATGAAAAAAATGAAGAGCTGGAACCCAGAAGATCCTAACTTTGTCCAGCAATGTCAAAACCACCTCCCAAAGCTCTGCTAGGTTTCCATCTTGATTTTTAAGTGAAAACCGGTTGTTTTTTTGATTGAGTAAACCGGAGCTGAACTTCAACAACTGTGACTGTCCCGTCGTGATCTTTTGTCCAGACGGCATGGCCATATGCTGCTGACATTTTCTTCGGGGCAGATGTTTTGTTCGCTTTTCTTTTCACCGTGGAGCTGCTCGGAAAAAAAAACTCCTGGTCCAGTCCTGGTCGAGGGTGGCGTGTCATCTGTGGCACATGACAGGCGAGATTCATTGCAGTCGAATGTGATCGCCATCAGAATCAAAAAGAACATATAGCCTCTGCTTATTTAACAGTTCGCCATGGAATAGATGGCCCATTTATAGATGGTTTAATGTTTACCTATTAAAAATAATGGTGATTTTCCATGGCTATGTTAAATAGCCAGAGGGTATAATATCTAGACATAGATCATATAATAAGTTCACGAATGTGTAAATACGTATGTGTTGACATATGCACAACGAGTGTAGATCTAATTTGATTTCAATCACGTGCGCAGCATGAAACCACACAGAACACTTATGTCCGAGAGATTGCTTGCCACAGGGATCCAAGGTAACTAATTAGCGATTCAGAATGAATAGGGCTGGGTTCGTGTTGTTTGTTATTCATTGATTCACGTGATTTCCTTTTCTGTGTATTTTATGTGTCTATCCGTTCATTATAGCTGATGTATTCACTTTTGTTTGCTTCACTTATGTATTTAGAATATTCATCTATCACCTATCTATGTGTTCAGAGAGCATCATCTTGTCCTCCGTCAACTTCAGGCTCCGGGACAATAGGGACCTGGCTATCTGAGCTAAGGATGTTTTGGCGCTTGCTGAAGATCCGCGCTGCCTTCTTCAAGCATTGCCTCAACTGGCCCCTCGGTCCAATGTCCAAGCGTGGCCTGCGTGGCCTGTAAATGATGGTAAATGAATGCTTGAATCTACCAAAAATAGTAATTATCATATGATATGATATGTATATATATTTCTATTATATTATATATTATATTTTTTATATTATATATGTATATATATATATTATAAATAATTATGTATATTTACATTTGCATATGCACATAGTTAGCGACATTGCTTGAAGGGGATCTAAGATCGCTAATGCAATATATGTAATGGGTTGTTCTGGAGGACTGACTCAGTGCACGCCGGGTTGCTTGCTTCATGTTCTTGAGTTTGTTGGATTGAAGCCCGTAATTTGCGAGATTTCTGCCGCTCCATGATGTCTTGTCCATTCTTTTCCAGTTCCATCCCCATTTGTTCATCAAGTCAGTTTAGTGCAGTTCCAACCCAAAAACCATCCCTTTTCGTGTGGATTTGCTGTTTCAATCTTTGAGTTTGCTGATCCTCATGTCTGCACACTTTGTTTTGCTTGTTGGACGAAAACAAATAGATTTTCCAAAAACACATCTTCAATCTCTCAATGTCACAAATTTACCATTATATTAATTTATATTATGTATGTATTATACCCTCCATTTACAGGAAACAATCCCGACCCTCCAGTCCAAGCACCGTTTTTTGAGGGTGGATTTCCTGGTGGTTTGCAGCAGTTGGTTGGAACTCTTCGCCCAAGCGCTTCCCATTTCGCCCACCTTTCTACGCTTGCTGCGTTTGGGGAAGCTGCTGCGCGCCCTGCGCGTGGTGCGGATGTCGCAGGTCTTAGAGCCTTGGACAATGGCAACATGGCGATTTTCAGGGCGAGTTACCATTAAAAAACATGATAAAAATTCATGAAACATGGTGATGTTCATTGAATTTTTAGATAGCAAACTGGTAAGATTATTCTTAAAGAATCAAATGCCATAAACATTGTGTTTTTTCCTGGTAAGTGATGTTGACATTCCAAAATAAAATCATCCCGATTGCGGTTGGGGTCCATCCATCATTAGAAACTGCTGGCAGTTCCCTGGGTCTCTGAATCTAAGAAACTCAATAACTTGGCATCGATTTAGTGGCCCATTTATAGATGATTGATGATGATTTACCTATTAAACATGGTGATTTCCCATGGCTACGTTAAATAACCAGATGGTAGTTTAACTTTTTAAATTATTCGGAAACTGACTCCGTGAATGTTTGAGGCAGCTTTTTTAAGCAGAGATGCCAAGCAGAAATTGTCAATGACTGCAGGAGTAGTGACATAGCCACTGCAGATGTGCCAAGCAGAAACTGTCAGTGCATGTGTAAGAGAACAGTCAAACAAAAACAACATAGACACAACATAGACACAACATACAAACTACCTACCTACCTACCTACCTACATACATACATACATACATACATACATACATAGATACATACATACATACATGCATACATACATACATACAAACATACATACATACATAGTTACATACATACATACATACATACATACGTAGATACGTAGATACATAGAAACATAGATACATAGATACATAGATACATAGATACATACATAGATACATAGATACACACATAGATACATAGATACATAGTTAGATAGATAGACATATATATATATATACTAGGGGCTGATGACATGTGGAGTGAGAGAACCTACCCAACCCCTACAGACCGAAAAACATGTCATTTGTTCAATCCTAGGGGTGGTGTGGCCTCCCAAAAAAGTCACATTTTCCTATGTATTTTGTCCTTCAGTCTGGTTCGGCCATGATGCTGCCCACATGACATGTAACCAGAATAACACTACCAATAATAACAGTAATTAGCAGTACTGTAATTATCATACTTTCATAAGACTCAAAACAGCATTTTTTTAATATCTCATTTAATTTTTATCTTATGATAATGGTAGCTTCTATATTTATATACCTAATTAATATAGTATCATATTAGGTCAATATAGATGTTATGTATATATATATATACATGTTAGCTAAATATTTCATATATCCCATATATAGTACCTATAATATTGACCTAATATATACACTATCACCGTAATCTTGGTCCTTGGCCTTGGCTTCTCGCATTCTGAGGAATCCCTCCAGCTCTTACTGACTCTCGGATCGGTAGGGAGACGAGAATTTCCTCAATGTCATCCGAAAATACAGATGCTTCAGATTGTTTGAGAGAGAGAGAGATATATATATATCAATAAATACATATAATACATCATATCATATATTTGCATATAATGATATATACATATATATATTTATATATATATATAGATATAATATGTAAATACCTTGGTCTGTCTGTTCCTTCATAATTTGTCTCTGTGTTCCAACTGTTATCTGCTGTAAGACCCAGTAGCAATTCTCTAAATCTCTTCATGGTTTTCCCCATGGGTTTCGTGGGGATTTCAATGGCCCTTTGGTCTAACCACGGACCTAGTCATTGGATTGGTGAACGAGGGGCAATTTGATGAAATTGAAACCTCCATGATGGGAAAAACAACTGCTTCCCGCTTAAGATGTGTCTCAACAAACCAACCCATTGAAGAAGATCTTACACCCATATCATCCTGAATTTCGGATAGTTATGACAGCAGAACGATTAAGCACTTATTCCATGTATTTATGTGCATTCCTCATATGGTTGTTGGTGATGTGAATGGCATTTCGTTTGGGATGAATTTGATCATGACCTCACGTCGTGATGTAACTGGAATGATTCGTAGATTGCAGGGAATCATCCCGAAATGAGCCAACAATCTTCAGCCATTTTCAGGGTGAATTGGCTCAGCCATATCCTGGTTGATGTTGGGAATAATAGTCCCGACTGACTTTCATATTTTTCAGAGGGGTAGGTATACCAACCACCAACCAGTATATGTTGGTTTTGGGAATTTAATGTTGATTGATTCCAATATAGTTGAAACCACCAACCAGTATTCAAGTTGAAACCAACCAGTATATGTTGGTTGATTCCAATAGATCTCAGGAAATGCATTTACGCCTCCTTGCGCATCCTCTTCTGGTCCTTGGTGCTGCTGATGATCATCCAATGCAGCGCGGGGATGACCATCTCCTACATGCTCAGTGACTTCATGGTGACCGATGATGGCACCCTGGCCGTGGAATACCTTGGGATATGCCTTGACATCCAAATCATTTTATATGTTGTATATTTAATTTTATAACATGGTTCAAGTATAGTTATAAATGGTGGTAAATTGTATAATTCATGTTGAATTTTTATCAACGGATAGGGAAATATAATATGAGATAGCACATACGTCAAAAAAAAACGCCAAAAAGTTTGCAAAGATAGCTGTTTTTTGGGCCTGGAAACGGATGTTTTGTATGGCAGGACCATTTTTCTGCTCAAGTGGAGCACAATTTCACGGGAAGCATGGCTGCAGCTGAAATGTGATAGCACAGAGAGCGACGCTGCAGGACTTCAAATCCTGGCGTTTCCTGTTGTTTAAAGAGAAGATGAGAGAAGGCTTGCGTGGAACGCGCATGTGTTTCCTGTTGTTTAGAGAGGAAAGCAAGGAAAGGCGCATGCGTTTCTGGATTTTACACTTCCAGAACAAGTAAATGAGTTTGTGTTTTCACACAGATACATAAAAATGATTGTAAACGCATATGTGTTAAAGATGTGATTCCACATTGATACACATGGTGCCCAAAAATCTCGACATCCGGGATGTGTTTCCAGAAAAACATGGGAACACGCATCATGTGTATTACCTCATGAAAATACCAACATGGCAAGGGAACTCGTTTGCGTTTCCAGCTCCCATCACCATCGTGCTTGGAAACGTGTATGTGTTAAAAACGTGTTTCTTGTGTTTCCTCTAAAACTGAAATCCGTAGCTGTTTTTCTCGCTCAAGCTCACCCGAACCGTTGTTTTTGCCAGAAACTCTTCACATTTCGAGATCAAAAGCTAAGGAAACGACATGCAGCGGGAAAAAAGGAACTTCCCAAACTCACATGACAATTGCAAAAAATGCAAAATTGAACGCCATTTAACGCCCAAAAAAGATACAAAAGACATAACTTAATTTACAAAACCTATCAACTTATTATAACTTCAAGTTAACTTCCCTAAGTCCTTTTAAAAAGCCCCTAAGTCCATTTTAAGTCAAGGCATATCCCTGTTGGGATCAGGCCGGAGATGGTCTACCACGTTTTTTTTATTCGAGGATGAAGTATTTTGCATGTTGGAAACTTTGGGGCGGGCAATTCTTGGAACTGAAGATGTGTTTTTTGCGGAAAAATGTGGCCGCAGATGCTAATCAAGAATGTTTGCCTGTCTTTTGATCCGTAGCCAGTAGCCAGTTTAGGATTTGCAGAACATGTTGGTTTTGAAAAAACGGGCAGAGAAGTAGTTAAAAAAAACACTGGTAGAGTATTCGGAGATGTTTTTGATCTGTTAAATTGGCGAACATGGGCGCTGCCTGCGATGAAGAGTAAAACAGGACAAGGATTGGTTTACTGGGGAGGAGCTTCATGATGCTTTACCTAAAACCGGTCAATAATATGATTAGTTTGTTTACTGGATAAATTATTGCAATCCACAAAAAGATATACAGAAGCTGGTAGAATCAAACTCCCACTAAAATTGGGAGGAATGAACCTATTCTATCTTTTTGGGGTCATTGACAAAAGCTTTGGTTTTCTTCTGGAATGCTTTAGAGTCACAGCTGAAAAAGAATATACGGTTCGCCTGCAGAATGGTAATCTCACCGAGGCGAAATAAATATGCAAATTGCATGGGTCCTAATTTTAGTAACCTCTTTGGATTTTTGCACAAGATATGAATATCTTGGAAGAAAGTATATCTTATATAGTTGTTTGTGATTTCACTGTGACACTTAAGCTCTGTCGATTCAGGAAACGCCGAGGCGCGCTTTCAGGTCTTTAGTTGCTCGGCTGTTGAGGTCCACCGCAGGTATCCGCGCGTTACACAAAGCAACCGCAGAAAACACTGGGAACTTACCAAAAATCGTTAAACAATGATCTCACATATGTGGTCAGTCTTCAATTTATTCCAGTATGTTCATTTATCTATATGTTTATGGTTGGTTCAGTTTTACAATCTCATGATAAGCCATGCCTCATTTAATACCATCTGTTGTGTCGAAAAAATCGTCTCAGTAGATCGCCTTCGGAGACCCACGGGAAGGGCCCACAGAGGCATGTCCAAAACTAAATGCCAAAACATCCAAAAGCTACTGTACTTGTTTTCCATCCTGAAAGAAACACAACAAAAACAATATTTGAAGTATGTGGTGGGCGCACCCCATTGCGCAAAGTCACTTGAATGTTCATAGACCATGGCTAAAAAATCCCTATCATTAGTGGTGGAATATAGATTCCTATGAGAAGAAACCAGGAAACCACCGAATCCCTACAAATCAAATCACCCACTGAGGGTATTACGGGACCTTTAGCAAGATGCTTGGCAGAGAGTGTCGACAATTGCATCGTGCTGTCTGAAACTATGGGTTTGGTACCTGAAAATGCCGGGAAAACCCACCTCAGTTTGATGTAGTTTGATGGTTCATCGTCATGTTTCCTATAAACAAAAATGCATTCGGAGGGTATATCCCCTTTTCAGCCACACCCATGGGTATATGGCTGCCTTGCTTTCACATGTTGTCATCGCAGGCCCTTGTTAGTCTTATACCACAGGTTTGCGTGTGAGATCATAATGCCCCTTGTTCCAATCACGATTTTCCAGAACACAGGGAAGCCGATTTTCCATCCTGGGGTCGAGGAAAAACGGCTCTACAATGGAGTCTCGTCCCCCATCTAAGGATTAGATGTTTATGTCGCTGAGATTTGGACTCATGGGTGTGATTGAGTCATCAATCGCAATCGTTTATCATATTTAATTAGTCATGATTATCTTAAAATGATTTTTGATATATCATGACTATATAAGGTGATACATCATGATAAACCCTAATAACATATAGATCATGATTTATCATGATTTACGATAATTATGTGTCACGTCCTTCATGAGTTTGATGTCGTCCTGGTTACATCACCACTTTGCCCATACTTCATAGCAACCCCCAACATAGGAAAACATCATCGAACTAACATCCTGGGGGCACTTGATCTATCTTTTGGGGGGACCCAAAATAACCATATTTGTTGGATCATGTGTCTGGCTGAAGGTTTAAAAAAAATCATGTAACCATGCAGTTCAGGACGCTCCTGACAATGTGTGAAGTGCTCTTCGCGAATTGGGCTCCTGCTTGCCGAGTGCTGATCGACAATGTGCCTTGGTCTTTGCCATTGGTACAGCGAAGTCACTGGCCCACCAACTAACCAACCTCTACTGTACAATTTGAATGGTCAAGGTGATATCACGGATAGGTTTCCTGCCAATCTCAAGTTTATGTTAATCATCAATGACCGGCTCCGAATCATTCCGGACATGTATACCTTGATGTTGTTTTTGCATTTCACCATTTTTAGCTGGTACACCCGCTTTTCGTGCGCTATCACTGCCCACTTTCTGTGTCAAACCGCCATCCAATGCTAAAACTATCGAGTACCATGGCAATTTGGATAGAGACATGTCATGGTAGATCCATTACATCTCTGTTATTCTTCCCATTTCATGGTCCAACACATTGATTGAGAAATAGCTCCTGAAAATGCTCCTCCCCAAAGCGAATCTTCCAGGTCAGTGAGTGGTGGGCTCTGGGATTTATCGTCTACAGATACTCGGCGCCACCGCCAGGATGTCGCAATAAAAAGGCCACTGAGAACGTTGGAATATGATGGACTGTGAATTTCAGGCCTTTTCCTTAACCAGAAATCCTTGATCTTTGCTGATTATGATTCAGGAATTTTCAGGAATTAAACATTTTATGGACCAAAAAAAGGTTTACCATGCCAGGATGGATGGGGAAACAAGTTTAAAAAGAAAGGACGCCCTGTCACTAGAAGTACTTGATACTTTCCGTGCGGAAATTTCACCGCAAATTGTGTTTTTCTTGTTCCTGACATTGAATTCTTTGCCATGTCGGTTCTGAGTACCTGGCCATCTGTTACCCTCTGGTAAACAAACATAGCTATTGAAAATGGCCATTTATAGTCGATTTTCCCGTGAAAAATTGTGATTTTCCATCGTTATGTTAAATTTAAATTACCAGAGGGTAGAAAGAAAATTACTTTCTTTGAGTGATCCCCACCCTGAAACACGATTCTGACATAGTTTCTGGCATACCATCTGGAGTATATATTGCATATTTATTCTGGCGTTCTATCTGACATTCTTTCCGGCATATACTTTGACATTTTATCTGGCATTCTTTCTGGCACATATTCTGACATATTTTCATTTTGACTCTCTTTCCGGCATTCTATCGGCATCTATTCTTTTCAGGCATTCATTCTGGCATTCTTTCTGGCATCTATTCTGACATTATTTCTGACATTCTTTTTGCCATTCTATGTAGCATCTATTCTGACAGTCTTTCTGGCACTTTGTCTGACATTCATTCTGGCGTCTTGCTGAGGTCCAGCAGCGCCCACTCAGCTCGCGAGCTCGCAGTTGAGGTCTGGCAGTTCCCACTGAGCTCTGGAGCTCGCGGTTGAGGTCTTGCAGTGGCCACTGGGCGGCCACTGAGATCTGGAGCTCGCGGTTGAGGTCCCACTGAGATCTGGCGCTCGCGGTTAGGTTCCGGCAATGCCCACTGAGATCTGGAGTTCGCTGTTGGGGGAAGAAGGAAGTAACTCTTGATAAAATCTTGCGACTCACCTGGGAGCATTTTAAAAGTACAGGCACCAGCGTTGGTAATTTTTGGGGCCAGCTTTAAGCCAGCCGCTGGCAGAAACTTCAGTGAATCTGAGGATGTTTTGTGGGTTTCGCTGTCCTCAATGTCGTCAGTGCACCTCGAACGCGCCCCGAAAATTTCCCAAAAAAAGGTGGTGGTTGCGGTATGTTGCGGTGGTAGCTTGGTGGGTAGAGCTTGCAACAAGCGCACCTGGATGTTTGAATGAATGGGGCCTACCAAACTACGGTTGAAGCAGCTAGATAACCATATATAACCATACGTACATACATAAATGTACATATATACAGTTGAATCAGCACATCTGTGAATATCTATCTGTGTATATCTATATACATATATATATAGTGTAAAATGCCATATATTAATTCAAACCATTATACCATATGTTATAGTAATAATGGTTGCGCTTCCTGGTACCTATTTCCAGACGTTTGCTGCAAGTCACAAATTGGAATTGGTTCATTTGCTAGTGGCTTCAATCGTTGGGGTCATGGATTTGTAAATGGCTCTGCGCATGAGTAAACAAGAGGTACGGGCTCATCAATGCATGGGAATATTTCCAAAAGAAAAATGAACCGTTTTTCCATGTTTTCGCTTGATGTCCTGTTCTATCAGCTATGTGCTTTAGCAATCTGATATGGAACATATCGAGCCATTCATCACTGTGATGGTTCTGACTCTTTTTCAACACCACTCCCAGGCCCACGGTATTGAACTAGATTTAATTAGTTAATGAATTGATTAATTACCCCATAGTTAAGGAAAACCAAAGTTGATTCATCAATGATTGCGCCAAATTGAGACGATACCGATTGTAAATGGCGGCCAGGAGCTCAGTTAACTGTCCTCTTTATTCATGTGATTAAACCTGAGAATCATGCAATGAACCTTTTCAACAGTCAAAAAATTCTAGTTATTCTTGATATATGGCAGTATAGGGCAGCATGTCCAAATCATTTCCAGAATCGATCACTTTCATGCCAACCCACTTCCACATGCAAAAAAGGCTGTCTTCATCCAGACCACCATGAAGGTGGCGCATGAGGACGAAGAGGTGAAGCATTGGACCATGGTGAACCCCGACGGGGCTGGTTGGTTATAAGGGCGAAATATCCCACAATGGATGTAAAATATGAAAAATGATGATAAACTATGAACATGGTCGGTTTGTTCATGGTTTTTTCCAACATTGTCAGGTACCAAACCCATGGTTTACGCCATACAAATCCGGATCCAGAGTATATCCCTTGGTCATCCCTACATCCCCAGTCACGGCTGCATCCCGACGTGATCCGTGCAGGTCATCGCCTTCGAAAAAACCAAAGCGCAGGAAATCTATCGACGTCGAGCCGCTCGGCGATCTGCGGTGCGCTGCGGACCGTTAAGTGACCGTGAAGTGACCATCAAACAACGGTAGACTCATGGCTATGGGGCTATGGCTATGGAAATGATAGGTATGTGTGTTTTATGTTTCCGAAAATGGCGATGGAATTAAAGAAAACACACATCAGTGTTGTTGAATCGGGAAAGTGATGAAAATTTGGATTTACTTAAGACAACTTTTCGTAGAGACAATGCTTTTGGGGGGTGTATGACCAATTGCACCGGCTGTATATAGATCGTTGTGGATAATTGAGCTACTTTCTTGGCAGTTTCTGTTTTGTCCCAATGGGGGGTTGCCTCATGTTGTCTTATCTGTGAAAACAGATAAGGAATGGTTATCAGATTTTGTGGCTACCATTCCCCCACTCATAGTCTCAATAAATGCGCGACATGTAGTCCAAAGTACAGATATGTAGATAGCCTTTTTTATTGCCATCACTACCCTAAGGGTCCGATATTGAAAAAATCATTCTAAATATTGAAAAAGTACCGGTTTCAATATTGCATGTTTTCATGCCAAAAACAAAATCAAGATTTTGGATACAAACCTCTACACACAATAATGATTTTTTTGGCCAAAAATATTGATTTTTTTTGAAAAAATGGTGCAACAAGCAACATGACATAGGGCCATGCAATGAGCTCACTGGAGACAGGTCAGCAATGGACAATATGTGTATGGTAATTACTTGCATATTTGATGGCTGCTGCACCAGTGTTGGACCAGCAATGGGCCTTTGTCCTCTGAATGGAGTTACTTGCTGTGCATTTTTTGTGTCAAGTGCAGCATGTGGGTTGCCTGCCTCTGCTTCAGCAATGGCAGCAGCGACAGCTCTTGATGAACCTGAAGAAGATTCTGTCTCATTAGAAAAGCATCTTGGTGAGAGAAGAGATGCTGCCACGCTTCCTGATGGTTCTGACAGACCTTTGAAAAATTGAAGGAATGCACCCATGACTCCAAGGATGGCATCAGATGGCTTCAAACTGCCAATGGCCCTATGATACCTTTTGTACTGAGAGCATTGTCCATTGTGGCCATGTGGAAATGCAGGTTTTGAGAAATGGACACATTCCTGAGGTTCTGTGCCTCACTGGCTGTGAGCCAGCTGGCCAGTGTCCATGCTATTGCCACTTGTTGCAAAGCTACTACAACCAAAGAACATAGTAGGGTTAAAAAGGTTGCAGCTTGCTGGTATGTTTGTGAAAGTGTTGGCAAAGTGTGGGACCAGCAATGGGCCCTGATGTTGGGAATCTGCAACAGAGCACAGCTTGCAAGGATTGTCTTTGCAAAATTTGTGCGCAGGCAGCATCTGGGGTCAAACCACCATGAGTAGAAAAACGAAAGGCACCAGGGGTGGTAGTAGAAACAAAGCAAAGGATGAAGTGGACATTGACCACCTTTGTGACTTGTGGCCTGACCTCCACAGGAAGAATTTTGATGTGTTTGGCAGCTTTGGTGAATACAAAGGACTTTGGGCTGAATGTGCAGCCAGACCTGACCTGGTTGAGCTGATTCCAATGGCACGGGTAATGTGCACTTGCAGCCCTTCTTTGATGATAGGCTACTCAGACCTCAAAGAAGCAGCCCTCATGACCATGAACAAGGACATCAGCACCAAGCCTTTGAAGGAAGAGACTGTGCAAGAATGCTCCAGGTTTGTTGCTGACAAGTTTGTGGTGGTCCAAAAACACTTCAGGGCCATCTCTTTGAACAAGGACTGGAAGAGCAAATTGAACATCCTGATGGGCAAGCTCTCTGTCAACAAGCAGAACAAGCTTCAGGAGTTTGTGGATCAGCTCCAGGAACATCAAAACAGAACACACCGTGTTCACCAAAGGCTTCTGCCAAGTCCCCCAAAGGGAGTGCCAGGTCCAGCTCTGCCATGCCTGTTGCAGATGAAGAAGCCACACTGCCTCTTTCTCAAGTATCACAAGATGACTATGGCCTGCCCAAACTCAGTGGGCTGGCAAGTGAAAGTGAAGCTGATGTGGAAGTGCCCAATTTGCCGGTGAGCAAGCAGGAAATCAGAAACTTCAAGTCTCAGAAAGGAGTGTCTCCCTTGAAAAGGCCTGCTTCCCAACTTCAACCTGGAAGTCAGTTTGCCAAAAAACCTGCAGCCAGAGCTGACAAGTTGAAAATTAAAAAGGAAGCTAAACCAACTTTCAAGAGGCCAGCTTCCAAGTTTCAATTGCCTGCAGGGAGCCCATTTGCAGCCATTTTTGGTTCCCAGCAAAGCTATATTTGCTTCAGAGAGGGTGGTTCAAAAAAGCTATGGGTTGCAATCTCTGCAAAGCAGTCTGCAAACCATGCAGCATTGATCAAGAAAATTTTGGAAATGAATCCTGCCAGCAAACAGCAGGCTTTGGACTTCAGGTCCCAAGTTTTGGAAGAGCAGCCATAAGCAACATTTCTGGGTGACAAAAAAGTGGGGGAGGAGTGGTCTGTTTTTGTGCTATACTTTTGCTGTCTTTTTCAATGGTGAACCAGTCAATTCTTTCACCAGCAGCAATTTGCCACCTGTTTTCTTTGTGTCTGCAGGGCCCACCTCACACTTGGCATGCAAGGGACCAGAAATTGGGCCCCCATTTGCTAAGTGAACATGTGTGTTTTGGTCCAGCTCTATGTTCTTGCTACCTTCTTGAATCTCTGAACTGGTTTATTCTTTCACCAGCAACTATTTGCATCTTTTTACTCAGGCTGCAGAGCCCACTTCATATGTGGCATGGAAGGGACCAGAAAGTGGGCCCACATTTCATTTGTGAAAATGTGCAATGATGATTTGGCACCATGCATTGAATAGGTGACACAGCTGCAGCCATGTGGCCCAAAAAAATGGTGCCCAAAAAAGAAAAGAAAGGGGTCGACTAACAAATTCTGAAGAAGGCAGGAAATTCATCAGGGCTACTGCCAAGGCCAAATCCAAATTTGGTCCTCCTCTTGGCCCTTTGGAAACCATGTGGATTTCCACCATGCCTGAGAACAAGACCATGGAGATGGCACAAGGCCAAGCTTCTCTTTCTACAGCCTCAGCTTCGTCTTCTACAACCACTGCTGGTGGCCAAGCTATGCATACTACAGCTTCCTCTTCTACAAGCATGGCAGATGGCCAGGCTGTGCCTGTCACACCTTCCTCTTCCAGCTGCAGGGATGCCAACCCTTCTGGTCAATATGGTGCAGCAGTCGGACAACATGGGGGTGAAGGGCAAGGGTTGCAGCAGCTTCCAAAAGCTGAACAGAAACATACTGTAAAACAGTTTGGCTCTGGAATTATTTTTGGTGTCCATGACCCAGAAATCTGATCCAGCAGTGCAGGTGGTGGATCGTGAAAAAAATGCTGCAGCATGTGTCTGCCAGGAGTTTGTTGGGATCAGCACTGAACCTTTTGTAGTAACTAGTAGCTGCTGGTGGGACCAGAAATGTGCCCCACAAAGCAATTTATGTTGGACAGTGGGACCAGCAATGGGACCAGCAATGGGCCCTACAAAGCATGTGTTTTGTGTGCGCATGTCCTGTGGTTTCTGTGACAGTTTTGTTTCAAGCTGGCTGCAGCCAACATTGCCCACATTCACAACATATGTGCAGGTTCCAAAAGGTAAATTATTTTTCTTTAAAAACATGTTTATGGCAGTTTCTGGAAATAAACATGCACAAAACTGCACAAGTGCAATTGTTTCCACAGAAACACTTTCAGCACACACACACATTTCTCACTATGGAGCAAGCCCTTGCTACCCCATTGATGGACCCAGAGAATCCAATTCTCTTTGGGGGTGGCAAAGCTGGAATGGGTGGTGCTGGTGGACTTGGACATTTTCCAGTGGATGGCAAGAATGGATCCCATGCTATGTGATGCTGTGCAATTTCTTTCCTTTGCCTGAGGACTTGGAGGGCACACCAGAAGGCCAAGCCATTGCTACAGTGAAAGTGCGAGTGCTCAGGAACCTTCATGAGCGTTATGTTGGACCACTTGGTGGCAGCATCTTCAACCTGATGGTTGACCAGTTGGGGTACAAGGGCCTTCAGAAATCTGATTGGTACTACAACTCCATCCCTGTCTATGACATTGGCAACCAGCTAGCTGGATGAGACAGCAGTACAGCAGGCTGGAATGTGGTAAAAAGGAACTTGCTGCAACAAACTTGTGGGACCAGCAATGGGCCCTGTATGGCAACTTTGATTAACTAACTTTTGGCACACTCAGTAATGCATTTCTTTTACAAGCTGGTAGCTTTGGTTGGGACCAGCAATGGGCCCTTTGTCTGTGCAGAAAGCAGTGCAGGAATGACTTGTCTCATGACAACTCATGACAACTCATTCCCTCACAACCTGTCACGTGACAACTCATGACAACTCATTCCCTCACAACCTGTCACGTGACAACTCATGACAACTCATTCCCTCACAACCTGTCACATGACAACTCATGACAACTCATTCCCTCACAACCTGTCACATGACAACTCATGACAACTCATTCCCTTGGTGCTTCAATGCAATTTTGGGTGAGAGGCAATTGGCTCGGAGTGATCGGCTTTGGAACTGGCTTTCTTTGGAGCAAGTTTTTTGAGCCATGAGGGCCTGCAAAAAAAGGCCTGCAGCTTCTGTGAAGGCCTTGCCCAACAAGAGGCCTACTCAGACATCCGCTCCTGCACATGCAGAAGGTGCTGAAAGTGAAGTTTTGGTTGAAGACCCTCCTGTCACCCCAAGTGAGTCTGCAACAGCTGCTGAAGCTCCAGGCGCTGAGTCTGCAACAGCTGAAGCTCCAGATGCTGTTGTGCCAGCAGCTGAGGCTGGGTCTGAAGAGAAGAAAGGGGATGAAGATAAGATGGACAAGGAGAAGGGGGAGGAGCAAGAGACAGAGAAGCCTGAGACTCAGATGGCAGGTGCCAACAAAGAGCCTCCACAGCCTGCCTTGGTCAAAGCCAAGGCCAAGAGCAAGCCCAAGGATGAAAATGAAAGTATAGAGCTCTCACCAGAAGTTTTGCTCAATTTGCAAAATGCAGAAGAGGAGGATGTTGAGAAGTTTTGGCTGAAGCTGTCTACAAGGCAGCAGCAACTGCTTTGGAAGAAATTCCAAAAGCAAAGGCAGGAAGAAGGAACAGAAGCTGCCTACAAACAGGCAACTTGTGGTGCAGGTATGAAAGCAAAAGCCAAGGGATTGGTCAAGCTGTGGCTGAAGCATGGGTCCACCAAGCACCCAGCTTTTGAGACCCATCTGGTTGAGCTGAGGAGCACTGAGAGCCATGTGGCCAAAGAGAAATGGGTTCCATTGGAAACCATCAAGCAGAAGTATGGCATCATGGAGCTCAAAGCAAGGTGCCTGGGAGGTTCAATCAAAATCAGGAAGTCAGCCAGCGACCCAAGATTTCCTGAGTTCCAAGACTTGACTGAGACCAAGGAGCTGAGGACAGATAAGATGAAGTCAAAGCAAGGTAGGGTTGAGTCAGGAATGTGCATGGGCAGACTTCAAAGCTTTGTCCAACATGGAGGTTCAAGGGCAAGTGGATTTGGAGTTCCTGAGTGAAGGTTCTGACGAAGAGGCTGCTGCTTCAGGGGATGAAGTGGAAGCTCAAGCTTTGGCTTTGAACATGCTGGAGCCCTGGAAGGAGAAGGAACTGGAAAGCAACAACAAGAAGGCACAGGATGCCTTGGCCAGCTTTGAGACAGCATCAGCCCTTGCTGATGAGGTTGAGCCACCTGCAGGATCAATCCTGAAGTGCCAGAAGAAAATCAAGAAGCACTTGCAGCAGCTGGCTGCTAAGTCGCAGAGGGAGCTGAAGGTAGAGATCAAAGAGAGAATCAAGGCCTTGGACGAAATCAAAGAGGATACACCTGTGGGGGTTGCAAAGAAAGCCTTAAATGCTGCAGCTGCCACTGGCAAGAGAGCCATGAAGGCAAAGGCCTGAAGACTTTGATCCAGAATCAAAGCTGCAACAGACTCTGAGCTTGCTCTGGGTACAAAAGTGTTGGGCGCTGTCAAGGACCAGCAATGGGCCTTTTTCTGCAAATTCCAGCTGCACATGTGATTCTGTCAATCTAGCAGCTTGTGGGACCAGAAATGGGCCCTGTTGTGCAATGGGTTGTGTTCAGTTCAGCTTGTGTTTTTTTTGCAACTTAAAAAAACCTTCCTCTTGCAAGCTGCAGCTGCCCATGTGCATTCTGTCAGTTTACACCCTCTGGGACCAGAAATGGGCCCTGCTGTGCAATAGAATGTGGTTAGTTCAGCCTGTGTTTGCTTGCAGCATGAAATGCCCAAAAGGAAAGCACCTGCTGATGATCGTGATGGCAATTCTCCAGTGTTCAGAGGAGGGAGGCACCAAAGAAAAGCAGCAGCTGATGCAAAAGCACAGAAAGAAAAAAAGGTAGAAGCCATTGCCACAATTGGTGGTGTGAGCCCATGTGTTTACAAGCTGTTGGAGCATTGGTCCTGGGGAAGTAGCAGTGCCTTGGAAATTTGTGACCTTGCCAGGTCTGTGAAAAACACATTCGGTGCAGTCCCACAGGATTTGAATGCCTTGGCAAGCTGTGGATCTTATGGGCACCAGCCATCCAACACACAAAGAGACTTGCTCAGGTTAGAGGCACTTCAGAATTTGAAGGCTCCTGACCCTTACTATGTGTCAGCTTGGGTGATTCAGAACCCAGGCACAAGACCAGTATTGGTGAAAGAAGATATAGCAATTTTCTTGCCACATGAATGGGGCCATGCTTTGTCTCAGCATGGGTTGCTGGATTGCACAGTGGGCGAAATGGCGGACATCAAGGAATTCTGGAAGCAAGTTTCAAATGAGGACCCCAAACTCTACAAAAACCCTGTTTTGAAAGAGAACAGAGAGAACTACATGCCATTTGTCTTGCATGCAGACAAAGGGCCCCATGCCAAGCAGGATTCTTTACACACTATCAGCATGTACAGCCTGATTGCCCAAGCAAGGAGGCTTGGGGTGGACGAAAGCAGCTTCATGCTGTGTGCTATTCCCAACAGTTGCTTGGTGACTACAAAGAAATGCAAGGATCTATCCTTGGCCAATGTGGAACCCACCATGGATACAATTGGCAAAGTCTTAGCATGGAGCTTCAAAGCTTGGTTTGCTGGCCTGCACCCTTTCACTGATGCTTTTGGACATCCTTTGCTACAGGACAGGCTGGCCAAAGCAGGCCAAAGAATTTGCCAGAATGGTATGAGATGTATAATTTGGGCTTTGCCAGCAGATTGTGAGCACAACAGTGTAGAGTATGGGCTTCCAAACTACAACTCCAACAGCCCTTGCATGAGGTGCAAGTGCAACCGAAGTGATACACCCTGGAATGACTTCAACCACAATGCTGATTGGAGGTCCAAGCCTTATACAAAGCAGGAAGTGCATGATGAACCCATGACATCCCATTGGGTTCTTTCCATACCTGGAGTGAACCATTGGACTTTTGCATATGATTTCATGCACTGTGCAGACTTGGGGTTTTCTTCAGCATCAGTGGCAAATGTCTTCTATGATGTGGTTTACAAACACCTGCCTGGGAGAAAGAGGTCAGAAAAAATAGCACAGCTTCTAGACCTTGTGCACCAAGCCTATGATGACTTGGGAATCACAGAGGGCAGAATTTCAAAACTGGCACTGTCTCACTTTTGTGATGCTGATGCGCCCCACCAGCATTACCCTGATTTGATGCATAGTGCAACCAAGGCGAAGCAAACAGCATATTTGGTGCCAGTGTGTCTTAAACTCTGTGAAAAATTCAATGATGGCTCAGATTATTGCATGTGGAGGCACAAATGCTTGAAGCACCTGTGTAATTTGTGCAAAATCAGTGAAGAGGCTGATCTTTTCTTCACCCATGAAGAATTTCGACAATATGATTCCAATGTCCACAAGTTTTTGCAATACTACAACAAGCTGAGCTACCACAGCTACAGCCTAGACAATGCAAGGGTTGGGCATTTTCAATGGGGCCAAATCCCAAAAATGCATTTCTTGTGCCATATTTCAGAAGATGCTCAGTTTTTGAACCCCAGAGCAGTATGGGCATACCCAGGAGAGCATTTGGTGGGCAATGCCACTAAGTTGGCTGCAGCTTGCTTGGCTGGGCTACAGCCTTACCAGGTTCCAAATACAATTTGTAAGAAGTACCAAATTGGGAAACATTTGCAATTTCAACAGCAGGCTTGAAAAAAGGAGTAGCCTGAACACTGCAAAAGCTTCATTTGCTGTGGAGGACCTGCAGCAGGGCCTTCTTGCGGTTCTTAAGTTCTGTTTGTTCTTGCTGGGGACCTGCAGAAGGGCCCATGCAATCACAGACAGTGCAATTTTTGATTTGAACATATTGAAAAAGTAGGACCCCAAATATTGATTTATTTTTCAATATTTTTAACTTCCTTTTCTTAAACCAAAAACAAGGTTTTTTTCAAAAATATTGATTTTGCACTAAATATTGATTTTTTTCAATATCGGATCCTCTGGGTACTCGTATCATCATTCATTATTCGCGTCGCTATTTCATCAGTATTGACGATCATAAGTCTGATGATTACTATCATCGTTCTTATCACTGTTATCACCGTTATCGCTCCTATCACTGTTATCACACTTATCGCTTTTATCACTGTTATCACCCTTATATATGCCTCTTCCTCTCTTCTTTCTTCTCCTCTTCCTTCCTTACGCAGATTTGTTCTTCCACCTGCATAAGCACAAAAAACCAAGGAGAGAGAGATAGGCCCCCGGGAAAAAAAAACTGATGGCGCCAGCTCATACAACAAATATATGATATTTGTCTACATAAATGTGGTAAAACCAATGCCATGATCCCCAAGTCACCATGTTTATGGGTGGTAATGTGGATACAATAAAAAAAACCATCCCCCAAATCACAAATAGGTGGTATAATCAATTTTCAAATGGGTGGTTTATGGCATCGTTTTACCAGAATTAACGCAAACCATCCCCAAAGAGTACCCTCTGGTTATTTAACATAGCCATGGGAAATGGCCCATAGAAATAGATGGTTTACCGGTACCGAACTTAAAAATGGTGGATCTTTCCATGGCAAACTGTTAGTCATAACCAGATGGTAAGTTTAGGTAATTTGAAATAGTCATCTAATTTTTAGTCATAAATCACCATAATTATCCATATCACCAATTATAGTCATCCCCCAGATGGAAAAGTAAATCCCTACTGATTTGATCTGAGGTCAACAACATGTTCCGCGAAGCGGACACATCAGGAGACCCCCTGGATTTGAGTCGAGGGACCCCCTTTGGGATCATCTGGTTTTTATGGTGGGATACCTGGGGTATTTTTTCGCCAAGGATTCCAAGGATATGATATTTGAGTTGGTCCGAACATGAAGGAGACTAGCCATTTTGCGCCAAAAACACTTAATTTTCCACCATTGGTTTGGTGGGGTGCCATACCTAAAGGGACCCTGAGGAATGAGTCATAGCTGGTTGGTGGTTTGGAACATGGCTTTTATTTTTCCATATATTGGGAAGAATCATCCCAGCTGACATTAATATTTTTCAGGGGGGTTGAAACCACCAACCGGATGAGAATATTTCCAAAAGAATAATTAACCGTTTTTCCATGTTATCGCTTGATGTCCTGTTCTATCAGCTATGTGCTTCAGCAATCGTTTGAAAATCCAGATTTCAAACAATGAATCGTTTGTTTTGTGAATGGGCAGAAAAAATCTTCAGCCAGCTTCTCCAACAGTTGGAGCTCCATTACCAACACAAAGGGATAATGAAGCCAAACAGAAAAACACACATATCTATATATATGTGTGTTTATACATATATATATATAGGTTTACACATATATATATATATGTTTACATATATATATATGTATATATATATATATGTATATATATGTATATATATGTATATATATATATGTATATTTATATATATATGTATATATATATGTATATATGTATATATATATATATATTAGGTGATGTTTCGGAGGACATGCCATATCAGGGAGTGGAAAAAATATGACCAAGGGATGACAGAACAGAGAAGAACTGGCAAGGAAACCCATGTGAAAAAACAACTGACGGGCACCCCAGATGATTCATACGGATTCAAGGGTTCTGGCATGTAGCAGGAATTTGGCAACATTGAACATAATTTCAGCTTAGGACGGGTCTCGTGGACCACTGGATGGCGATATTGACTCATGATCTATCATGATATCATGATATGTGGCTAGATGGTGTATCGTTTATGTGCATATCCCACCACGGAAAATATCCATTGATTTCTCACGGCAGGAGATGGATTTATTGATTTTCAAGAGTTCAAGCGGATGCTGGAGCATCCTCAACTCCAGGCGCTCCTTTGAAACGCTGGGTTCGCTGGTGATCCACCCATTTCCAGCGGAACAACCTAGAATCCTTAGTATATCTGAGATTATTTGAGCATATGAGTCTTGTCTGAAAATCTGGCATACCCATAAAATGGCCATTGAATGGGCGAAAAAGATGGTGGTCCCATAAAATTGCTAATTATTTTTCCACATTGTTTAAAATTTAGATAAAACATTTTCCCTTTATGAACCCATCTGAATTATCCTACTATTGGGTGATCCAACCAATTTGGAGGTACCCAATTTTCTGACCCATGTCATGTCAGAAGCGCAGGTCTGGCTCCACCAGTTGGAGATCCAGACCGACGCGCCTTGCCGGCTTGGGCTGGGACGTCTGAAATCAGCGGCTGATCAACAAAGCTTAAACGATTTCAACGTCCAGGCGGTAAGTGCCAACATGTATGTTTATCATATTTTGTTGAAATTTGCGGAGCAAGTACTTAGTTGCAAGTGCTTTTAAGGCGAGGGAAGGTACTATTAATATCATTGTTTTCAGGACTATAACTAGAGATAATGTTTACAATCATTATCCAAATTATTCACGAAACAAAAGGTGGTGCTTTGTTGCCGTGAACGCCCTCCAGGGATCTGACGGTTTTTATAGGAACATCATTGCATCTAGTATGATTCTATTAGACAATCCCCTAGGTTTCTATAGCAGGTAGATTTCTATAAAATCAGCAAGGAGAGTTACAGAGGATTTTCCACACTATGATCTAGTTTCTGGAGGGTGTATGGGGGTATAGACGGTGTAGATTTCATGATTTTCCATGGATTAACTGTGAAAAAGATCAGCCCGACACCACCAGCGCTGTCTCTGGAGATCTGAGGACTTGCTTGGTCTATTCTGCATGCAGCTTGGACTTGGACCATGACAGTCTCGGGAGTTGCCATCCCCTGAAGTCTGTCCCCGTGATGCCCATGTCCCATGTAGTAATGGGTCAGGGTCCAGACAAGATGATGCCTCACAGCATCTCACAGCATAGGCTGATATACAACCCTTTACAGCCCCTTATGAAGCATAGCTATACTTACCATAAAGTTTGTTATATTAAAAGGTGAGGGGCCCCAGTTATCAACTCCATTGAGTTTAGTTGTATCGTATAGTCTAGTTATATCATTGTTATATTTATATTTATATCATGTCATATCCCCACATCAACATCCATAAACCATCAAATTCACAAAGCTATTTGCGTCAACTTAGCGAAGGCAAAGCTGGATGTCCATGGGATGATTTCCCCACTTACTAGTCACTTACCAGCGGAAGTCTTGCGTCATTTGGGTTGAATCTGTAGTTATGTCAGTTCTTCTTTTTGTACTGGTTGGTGGTTTGGAACATTTTTTATTTTCCATAATATATGGGATCCTTCCTATTGACGCACTCATATTTTCTAAAGATGGTTATTGCATGTTATTGCACCGCCAACCACAGAATTGGATGATGGGAAAATTTACAGGAACCCCCTATATTTGATGGTAAAAACCATGGTTTCCTGTAGATTTTCCCTTAACCAATCCATTGAACCAACCGGTGTAGCTTTGGTGAAATGTGGTACAACAATCGTTTTTCCGACCAGTCATCGACCTCAGGAGGTCCCCAGAAATTTCACCGCAGGTTAGATGATGGTGATGGCGAAATTTCACTGGACCCTCGGCGGAGACGAAGACGGCGGAACGATACGGGGGCCCCGGGGTTGGCCCGGTCAAAAACGTCGGAGGTCATGTCCACGACTTCAGCCTATATTTCAATTATTATGCCAACATATATGGATATATTTGGATATATCTGGTGATATCTGGTGTCCAAGTCTGAAACGCGTAGTGTCATATTTAATGTCAAGGCTGTTTCGTTATATCATGCTATACATGCTATATCACCATGATTGGATTGTATATCGATTGGTGGTTATATCATTTATATCCCCAGTTTGTTTCTGAAATCCTTCGTTGACTTGCTCGAATTGCTCAAACCTCCCGGATTGCCCCCAATGAAATGAAATGTTTGGTAGCAAATCTGGCCAAATCTCAATTTCCCCAGTGAAACATATACTATCATATACTCTGCCAACTTGCCCCCAGGAAGAGTTCGAGACGGGCATCATGAAGATCAAAGGCATTGCCCGGAGCTTTGACCTCAACAAGTTGCAACGACAGGTGCGGCTGCATTTTTCTGGATTTCTTTCTGGATTTTTGTGGGGATTTGTGTGGAGTAATTGGCCCGGAACTGGAGATTTATTGGGGAATTCTTTGAAAGGGCTGAGTTAAGCTGGTCATTATTAAGATCCGGCGCCGTTGTGTTTACAAAAGAAAATTGTTACTCACTTAGGGAATTAGGCCGAGCGCATGTAATCTTGTCAGGTAACTAAGGCACTAAGCTTGGAACCCTTCGTCTACTGTAGATCCAGTCAGTCTCTATTGACCTGCTGTGATTCTTGAGGGTTGCAGAACCTGGCCTTCTAACCCTTGATACTGTCGATCCCAGGACAGCAAAGAGCTCAACATAAATGCTGACAGGGACACCAACAAAACATGGCCATCTAAGATGTTTAAGATCTGTTGTGACTAGTTGTGACACTGAAGTTTTCTGAGTTTTGGTTCAGATCTTGACTTTCGAGTTGGCAAATGTCTATGTTTTTAGAAACCCCGGGTTTCCCGTTCATCATGGGATGGTTCAACCGCTTTCAAGTCCCCGAAAATATCGGATGCTGATCCACCAACATTGGTAAGAAAGGCTTGAAAACGCTGAGTCGGCGTTTGTTTTGCCCAGACATGCGTACCGCATACCCTTTGCATTCTCGTTTCCGTGTCCTTTCCCGAGAAACGGTCTCATTTTGATTCCGGTCCCGGCAATGGTGGGCTTCAAGTCGCACATGCTTGTCTGAGGTTAGGAAAATGAATGCAAAGCTGGATTCTTGAATGCATTTTTCCCGGGTGTTTTTGGGACGACATTGAATTCTACTTGAAAAATGGACGTTCGATTCTAGAGGTCTCGACATGCCCATTCTTCGCCACTGGACAACCATGGACAACCACAGACTCTATAATAATACGTTTTTTTTTAACGGTTGGATTAACAAAAACGGATGGCAGCAAACAGAATCAACATGAATCAACAAGCTGCAATTCTCATGTCAAATTCCCAACAAATGCAACAACATTAGGACATTATATTTCAAATTGTTAAATTACATTACGGCATGTATATAATATATCTATATCTATATCTATATCTATATCTATATATTTAAACATACGCAACCATTTTCGCGGGCAAATGTGCCTTCCAATCAATTCTTGAGGCATACGTGTAGAAGTGGGATCGAACCATCAGCTTGATGACTTCAAGGGACAGGTTCAACTCCCCCAATGTCTCGGAAAAAATAAGAACGTTCGAACAATTTCATCACTGACTTGCCAAGTCCTGATTGTGACGCGGGAAAGGCAAGTAGTTCTAGAGGTTATGATCTACTCAAACAGTGGCGAGTGAATCATGAAGCATAGGACATAGGATCTTTCTTCTCACCGTTTTGACAAATTTCCCCGTCATAACCCTGGGCCATGCCATGTCGTAAGATTTTGGAAGCCCCATCCGCCTGATCACAGAATCACGTAGCTGGCTGCTAACAGCTGACCATGCTGATCCGTTTGCCTACTTTGTGGTCTGGGGGTGGTACTATTTGTTTTTGTTCTTTGTTTTTTCTACAGATGGGATGCACGTGGAAAAACTGGAGATGGGAGGGCACCAACTTGGTGAACCTGTGGCCCCGTTATAACAGTTGGTTCATGCTTAGCCGGTTAGCCGCTAGCCGAATGACCAGCTCAATCCAACTTGCTACCTCCAGACTTTTCAGGATTTCATGCTGGTGCAGAACAACTTGTCGGATCTGCAACAATCACAGCTAAAGACTCTCGGCTGATCATTTTGCGTAGCTCTGGTCGCAGGTCAAAATTACACACAGACATGAGTTTATGTACGGTATGTGTGTGCATATTCGGCTATATATTTGCATTCATATTTAAAATCAGTCATGTGGTGCTTGTAATGTGTGTGTGGGTAAATTCCAGCTACACAGCTACACGTTTTGAGCATATTGGCATGTTGCGTCTAATCCACGGCCAGTGCGGCCAGTGGCATTGCTAACCATTTTTGTGGGGATTGCCTTCTGATGGGAAAAGCTGGAAAAGAAACCATGATGTCACTAGTGTGGGAAACCATGTGAAACCATGGAAAACCATGGGAGACCATGGAAAACCTAATGAACAACAACTACCATCTGGGGACGGTTTTTGTTGCACCCATTTTATGCTGGTTTTGGGTGGTTGTTTGTTGCTGGTTTTGCCACATTGAGCTTATTAGCTTGTTTGAAAACCCAATTAACACATGGGTGTTTCCACAAATAGGGGATCCCCAAAATGGTTGGTTTATATAATGGAACATCCTATTCAATTGATGATTTGGGGCTACCCCCATTTCAGGAAACCTCCATATCTTACCAAAGAAACACATGGTTGTTTGTTGTTTGATTGGTTTTTTGAGTGGTTGAATTGTTGTCAAACCAAAAGAGCTGAATGAGGCCTTTGCCAATGAACTCAGACCATTCGTCAGACAAAAAAAATACTTTACTTCGTGTGATCCCCACCATGACATTTATACATTTTGTTACTGGCAAATCTTCTGGCATTCTATCTGACATATTTTCTGGCATTCGATCTGGCATTCTATCTGGCATATCTTCTGGCATTCTACCTGGCATATCTTCTGGCAGATGTTCTGGCATATCTTCTGGCATATGGCAAATCTTCTGGCATTCCATCTGGCATTCTATCTAGCATATCTTCTGGCATATTATCTGGCAAATCTGCTGGCATTCTATCTGGCAAACATTCTGGCACTTTATCTGGCATATCTTCTGGCATTCTATCTGACATTCTATCTGGCATTCTATCTGGCATACCTGCTGGCATTCTATCTGGCATATCTTCTAACATTCTATCTGGCATATCTTCTGGCACTCTATGTGGCATATCTTTTGGCGTGGATACTCGCGGTTGAGGTCCGGCAGGGAACACTGGGCGGGGATACTCGCGGTTGAGGTCCGGCAGGGAACACTGGGCGTGGATGGTCGTGGTTGAGGTCCGGCAGGGAACACTGGGCGGGGATGGTCGTGGTTGAGGTCCGACAGAGACCACTGTGCGTCGAGGGTCGCGGATGAGCAGGAGGAGGAGGAGAGGAGAGGAGGAGAGGAGAGGGGACGAGGAGAGGAGAGGAGAGGAGGAGAGGAGGAGAGGAGGAGAGGAGGAGAGGAGGAGCAGGCAACTGACATAAAATCTAACAACCCTCACCTGGCAGGTGGGGAACAACATGGTTTTACCACATCTACATAGAAACGCTTGCTCTGTTCGTTGGAGACCATGCCGGGCACCCGGTCGCTCTTCGTTGCTGATTGGGCTTGGGTTGTCCCAGTAGCCATCAAGCCATGATTCTTCAGTGGATTGGGGTAGAAATATTTGAATTAATTACAACTATTTAGAAGCCAATAGCCCCTGGTAAACTAACAGTTTGCTATGGAACATGGCCCATTGATAACGTTGATTATGAAGATTTTCTGATTTTCCATAGCCATGTTAGTTTACCGCAACGGGTTCTTGTCCATTCTCACCAGGATGGTCGGTTCATGGGATGCAGGATGGATCGAGCAAGTCGCAAGGTCGTCTCAAACGTTTCCCCGGCTCCGAGTGACTTGGCTGCTTCGTCACCATGGTACAGTTTTTCTGGTTTTTCATATTGGGAGGGAACCACTCCGTAAGTATCCATTCTCAAAAATGACCATTTGAATTTGGGTAATTCAACCAAATTCGTTGCAATCTTAAATCAGTGTAAATTTGGGTAACTATTTTCGGTGGACCTAAATGAACGACCTGAACAGGAACCTGCCGGTCAATCTGTGAGACGGGTTCAGATTTAGTGAGCAAAACATTCAGATGAAATCAACGATTGCAACTAGTTACCCCCCAACTGCATCTACCCTCTGGTAATTCAACAGTTTGCTACTGAAAATGGCCATAGAATAGTGGATTTTTACCCATTAAAAATTGCGATTTTCCATAGTTTTTTGTATGTTTACCAGAGGGTAACTGCTTCTAAGAGCGAGGAAATATGAAAATTGAACGCTGGATAGATGATAGGCCGCTTTTGAATCAACGTTCCCCAGGAAATTTAGAATTAGATATCCCAGCGACTAGGTGATGCCTTGGACAGTCGGACAGTAGCTCTCGCAACATTCCTGCTGAAATCATCGTTAAAATAGTGATGATTCCTGCTGTACTTTTTTTGCTTTGCCACAGATGTGTGGTATAACATGGTATACCTAAGATTGACCATGCATCGGGCATGATGTCAACAATTCAGCTCACCAGGTGGCGAGCTGATGTCGAACACGTCTACTGGCGAAAAATATTCAAAAATGTGTCTGGGCCGGTTTTTGTTGACTGCACAGATCTATGTACTTCCAGATATCTATGTCGTAACTAAATACTTGAGCCAAATCTAACATAATACATGTATATATGAACATGTATATATACATTGATATACATATTTAAGTACATAGTGATCATAGTAATAACAAAAACAATCAGGATTGAATTGTTTTTGTTCTGGTTCGAACCTTTCAGGTTTAATCATGTTTCAACCTAGCTATGTAAGCTTTTCGAAAACATGGGAACTAGCTACAGTGGGAGCTGATGGTAACAGGGACTGGCGCAGGATATGTATCAAAATGCAAAATCACCCCTAACACACACAGACACACACGCATATACACATACAATCACATACATAATACATATATATATATATATTATATGCATTAGTTAATGCATCCATATACATTTGCATATACATATATGTTGTGTATACAATATATGTATCAATGTGTACATACAATTTAGAATAATACGGAATAGTAATTGAAAACAACTATGCATACATCTTATATTTATTTATGATGTGTTTTGCTTATTATCAGAGACTTCACCTGCGGAACCTGAAGCTGCAGGACTGAAGAATTGGCACCCTTTTCCATTGAATACCGCTTGGGTATAATAGGCATGTATAGAAGTTAAGTAATCATTTACTGCAAAAGTGAAAATATAGTACCTATATGTGTCATCATATTCTGGTTGGTGGTTTCAATCATTTTTTCCATAATATATGGGATAATCCTTCCCATTGACTTTCATATGTTTCAAGATGGTTAAAACCACCAACCAGTATATGTGTCATTATATTGATTTTTATTGTCTAATCATAACCTGAAAGTGTCTGAACATTTTTATTTCGTTGGTCTTTTGGATCCCTGTGTCCTCAGGTGGATGAAACTTCGGGGCGCTTCCCGCGACAGCTTCTGATGTTGGGCACTCCATAAGGAAACAGCGAGAATGGAACGTATGGGGATGATGTATCAACCTCGTGTCATTCATGGACTCGAAAAAGATTCGTTTTCTCATTGAACGTACTTAAATCATCATCCCGGATTGTGAGTGGTTGATAACTTGAAGACCCATCCCAATGCGAAGAAATATGAACATGTAACCTAGAAACCTCAAAAAAAAGGAAGCCTGCACGCTTGGAAGATACACGGAGTTTCCTTATAGAGCAGAGAGATGCCCCGCAAATGCGAAGTAAACGAGATAACTTTAGATAACCGCAGGGCACTTCGAAACGCAGAAACATCTTCGGTAGCTGGTCCCTCTGGGTACATCTACGCATGCTGTGACTCCAAGTTTCATCGGGCAGATCTCCGTGCCATTTGCCCGATCCAGTCATACCTTCGAAGTACTGGGGATTTAGGGGTGATGGTTGAAGTGCCTTAGCATTTGGATTCATAGGGTGTATTTAGAGTTACGGCATCTAACCATTAATGGAATCATACACACATTTATTTTCCACCGACATTAATTCTAAATTCAGTTACATTTTGCCCAGATCACTGTGCCAAATCAAAGATGCATCGCTGGACACCTTTCCGCACCGTGCTGGAAGCGTTTTTGTTGGGCCAACTTGTGGACAACGACCTTTCCACCATCTTCAAGCCCTTTTTTGGGTCTGTCTGAAACGGGGGTATACGCCTCCAGTTGTGACATGTACCGTGACTGACAAATATTGATAAACCAGAAAAAAACGGTGAAAAACCCTATTTTCAATACTTTTGGACAAACCTTTTAGAACTGAGATCCATTCTGACTGTGGCTGGCCTAGAACAAATTTGTTGAAGCATCCTCTAAATTGAAAGATCACGATATGAAAAAAATGTTTTGCAAAGCTCATATGTATACCTCATCATAACATGGATATATGGAAAGTCCTCTCATTTTGTTGCTGGTTTTTCCATGTTTAAGAAACGCCACTCGCCGCACGGCCAGCATGGATCCCATGGCATGCGGGTGAAATCGCCGCCAAAGGCGGCCAGTCCTATGGCCCCGTTTCTGGAGACCTTGATGCTTTCAATCATGGAGGAGTCGCATATCCCAAAAGCAGCTTTGTGTGAGGGCATCTCGATAAATAATGATGGCTTATAGATGATAATATATAATAATTCACATCCCAATCTCTAATGACATGATAAATAGTGATCACATAAAGATTAGCTACTTTTAGTGGATAGACATTATCATGTCATTAGAGAGAGGTGGAGGTGGAGAGATAGAAATATGTAAGAAAAATCATTTATATGCAATTAAGAATATCTGGTTGGTGGTTTGGAACATTTTTTATTTTCATAGTTGGGATGATGATCCAATCTGATTTTCATATTTTTGTAGACGGGGGTGGCTCAACCACCAATTAGATATACAAATTTTTGCACATGTAGAACAGTTGCATGCAATTTTTCCAAAACGTTTTTTCAAAACGTTGCCGAGTTCCACCCGTTCCGCGCTCCGTTCAGCGCTCAGCTGTGCTCCGATCTCCGCTCGCTGTCGGGAATTGCCATGGAGTCTCTGGAGTCGGAGCCAGAGCGGGGCCCGGAAGGATTGAAGAAGCTGCTGCAGGCGCGGCGCTGCCATGGTTCAGCCATGGTTCACTTCAGAAAGATAGCTGGATATAGCTGGAGTGGAATTCAATGACCAAGATGCTACTTTTTGGGATAGCTTTGAGGTATAAACAAGGCAACCGGTTGACTCGGCGCCCTTGTAAGGGTGACGAATTTGAAATTCTGATTTTTGAGGGTAAGAGACAAAATGCTGATATTTGCAGGAGTCGTCAAAAAATGCTTGCAACATGGACATTCATTTCGATTGGCAGGCGTGTGACTCAAGAGTGGAAATTTGCGTTTCGCCTGCGCGGTGACTCGATTTTGCTCTTCAAGGGTCAAAAAAAAACGTTTGAAATCTATGATTTTCAATCACCCGAATCATATCAGGGCGGCATTCACTCTTCCAGTTTTTTCCTCTTCTCGACGCTAGCGGTGCCAGAGCGCTTGTGGCAAATCAGAAGCCACAGTCTGCAACAAGACAGCGTTGTGACGCCATGTCCAGCTGTAGGCCCAAGTGTTTGGTTTTTTTGTGAAACATCGACGGAGGTCGCCATTTTTTCAAGTGTTTCCATGTTCCAAAAGGATTTGTTGAGTACCAGCAACAATGGTTCTATAGGATTTACCCCGCAAACGACCTGGAAAATGGTAAGTCTTAGTAAAGATATGTTCTTTGTGGTTGACTTGGGCCATCTTGAACCTTTTGTGGGGATAATCTTTGTCACAACTGGCTGCAAAACCTCTGGCTCCATCTGCAATGAGAACGCTAGAGCTGGGAACCCCCACCTGGTGATCATACGACAGCATGCGCAACGTGTGCATCTTCCGTAACGTAAAGGAAGTGCTTGTCAAGAACGTTAATACCCCCCCAACCCCCAACCCCGCCCCCACCTGATGGTCATACGGCAGCATGTGCAACATGTTAAAAACTAAAAAAAATCCTATACCCCCATTTGCGCAAGCCTCATTTTTGAAATTTGCAACCCTTCCAAGGGATCGTAAACGGCACATCTCAAAATTGGCAACCCTTCCAAGGGCGCCGTATCAGCCGCATGCCATAAACAACGGCTAAGACTTATTAAGAAACCTGTTCATGATTATTGGGTTTGTCTCACATGGTGAGATACCTCCAAGCAATTTCAATGTTTATTCAGAAAATGATAGGGTAAACCAGTGAATGAGGCGCTCATGTTTGAGACATACCCATTGTTTTTGACATTGATGGTCCCCACGTGCTTCCTGTTTCTCAGGGTGTGCCCCCAGTATGGTTGGTTGTGGCAGGGGTGCAAGTCTGCAAGTCGACCCTTACAAAAAAGATTGGGCATATTCCTGGAATGCAGGCAGAGTTTCTACAGATGACTTGGTTTGGAGGGATTTATGTAAGGTCATTGTTCATCCTGGGCTGAAAATTTCCCTGAATCCACGGGATTTTTGATGCTAATCATTGCTACTAGCTATACTTTATGATGGGGAAGCGGCGATCAAAACCAGGACCTGAACCTGTCAAAAATTGTTTGATCAATCCACATGGTAGGGTATTTGCAACGCAAAGATAAAACTGAATGGGGCCCTTCCAGTCATCATATATAGAGGGCAAAGCCAATGCGCTAAAATCAATTCTCCATATTCGATGGGCATTTGTTCTTCTTCACCCAGCAACTCACCCAAGAAAGGTAGACCAAACCATTGGGCGTATTATGGGGTAAAACAACCAAGATGTTTTGGGACGATGTCAAGTGACCGGCCAAAAACCGGCCCGCTTGGCATCCGGAAGATGATGTGCGGTTGGTATTGGTAAACACATATATGTATAATAATTATGATGCGCGTATGGATGTAAATATATATATACATACATAATGGGGGGAGATATACACATGTTTGTGTGGCAACCCCTAAAAAGATAGAACTCCAAATAGTGCTTGATTTTTTCAAATTGCTGTTCTAATATGTGTATATATATGATATAGTGGCTGACTAGATTCTTTACTGAAGAATACGTGGTTCAGATATATGTTTCGAAGATTCAAAAACAATCACATACGACCACGGTTCACTAACACATATCCCATCTTTTTCTTTCTGGCTGAAGCATCCCAGTGGCTCAGGAAATCGAAGCGATGTATACCTTAGAGGTGGGAGTTGTGTGATCTGGTGGTCATAGAGTGACATACGGATCTCCACCCTACAATCGAAGATAGTTTCTGAATGACATTTATAGTTATATGGGATGAGGGCAATGAGGACGACTAAAAAAACATAAATCACCAACGGTTCGTAGGTTTGTTCTCACTTTGTTGGTGGTGCGGCCGCGTTGGTGGAGATTTAAAAGCCACCATGGTAAAGTCAATGCAATGGGAATAGCATACCAAGTCGTCAACATTTTCAGCTAGGTAGTCATATATTATTGTTTGCACCCTATATATGTTTACTCTATCATCCCACTAAACAAGTAAAATAAGATGTACTGGTCGCACCGTACCATAGGTACTTAGTCAGTACTATAGTAACTATAGCCTATAACCATTACTATAGCTACTATACCATGATGATGTATAATCCCAATATATAGTAACCACATCGAAATGCAATTTGCACATATAAAATCTTAAATTCACACATACATATATACGTATATATATATACACTGTTTTTCTTATTAACGGTATATTATATCATATTAACTTATGTTATATTACAAGATTGCTGCTTGTTCTATTTTATTCAATATTACTTTATATGCTCTTATTTGTTTACTTTATTGAAATATATTCTATTGTATTTTATTGTATTTTATTCCATTCTATTCTGTTTTGGTTCATATTATTTTTATAATCTTTTTAAAATATATTGTGTGTTTATTGTATGATATGTATTATGTTGTGTTATATTGTATTATAGCTATTTACTGTAGCATTATTGAATTGTTTATTATTTTTTTATTTGCTTATTTTTTATTATATCATAAGCGGTTCTATTATCCTCTAGTGTATTGTATCTTGTGATATTATATGTTTATCTGGTTGGTGTTTTGGAACATTTTTTATTTTCCATATATTGGGAATTTCATAATCCCAACTGACGAAGTCATATTTTCAGAGGGGTTGGTAAACCACCAACCGGTTATATGTTTATTTTATATTATAGACCCTCTGGTAAATATACAAAAAATATGGAAAATCACCATTTTCAATGGGTAAATCAACTATTTCGACTGGGCATTTTCTATATAGCAAACTGTTTGTTTACCGGAGGGTATATGTACCCAACCATAGTGAGAATAGCCACTTTTTAGTTTCCAGGTCGCGGAGCTGCGTGCCAAAGTCACGGAGCTTCAGTCGCAGCTGCCCTACGAACGCGCCGTGGGGCCTCGAAACATCTCCCCGCAGCTGGCGGCGGTGCAGCCACAGGTGGGGGCGGCCAGGCGCAAGGTGAGGCAGTGAGGTCTTGTTACATTGATATATATATATATTATGTATGAGTAATATATAGGTGATATGGTTTATGTTTCTATGGTTTGTATGTGGCTTATGATGTTTATAGATGTTTATAGGGGATATGACTACACCTTTTGTTTTTCATAAACCAACTTACTAAAGGATACAGGATACTTTGACGTCGAGTTGCAACTTCGTAGAATCATATGTTGATCCGTTGACTTTGAGCTTCAGTTCCTATCTTGCAGCCAAGATGCGACATGCCTTGCTTCTTGATAATGTATTCTCACGTCACAAATCGCGATTCCCTTGCGTCATCGCTGTCATCTGAATAGGCGACATGGGGACACGCGGATACACATATCATTAATTATTATACATTCACAAATCATTATGCAACAGCAATCTCTTTCATCATTCATCATCCTTCATCTTCCTTCATCGTCATTCATCACCATTGATCTTCCTATTGTCTTCTCCTCAGTCATGTTTTGTACACAGATGCTTTCACACAGAGATGCCTTCACACAGAGGAGCTTCTACACACAACCTCGTTTCCACGCAGAAACTTTTACACACAGAAGCTTTTGCACAGAGAAACCTCTACACAGAGGAGCTTCCACACAACCTCATTTCCACACAGAAGCTTTTACACACAGATGCCTTTACAGAGAAGCTTTTCCACAGAGAAGCCTTTACAATCCTTTACACAGAGGAGCTTTTACACACAGAAACTTTTCCACGGAGAAGTCTTTGCACCAAACAGAAGCTTCTCGTCAAAGGACATTTTACACAGAGAAGTCTGTACGCAGAAGACCCTTTACGCATGGAAGGCTTTACGCGAAAAAGACTTTCCACAGAGGAACTTTGAAACACAGACACTTTTGCACAGCTTTGACACACAGAAGCTTCACACAGAGAAGATTTTACGCAGAGGCGCTTTTAACAGGAGATCTTACACACAGAAGCTTTGACACACACAAAAAAAAACAAGCTTTTGCACACAGACGCTTTTACACAGAGAAGCCTTCACACAAAGGAGCTTCTACACACATCCTTTTTTACAAACAGAAGCTTTTCCACACAGAAGCTTTTACACAGAGACGTCTTTACACAAAGGAGCTTTTACACACATAAGGGTTTACACGCAGAACCTTTTGCCCACAGAAGTTTTTAACACGGAAGCTTTTAAGTCTTTACACAAAGAAGCTTTTACGACAGCCGCTTTTACACAGAGAAGCTTTCACACACAGAAGCCTGTACACAGAGAAGCCTTCACACAGAGGAGCTTCACACACGACCTCGTTCCCACACAGAAGCTTTTACACACAGACGCCTTTACAGAGAAGCTTTTCCACGAAGAACCCTTTACAATCCTTTACACAGAGGAGCTTTTACACACAGAAACTTCTCCACAGAGAAGTCTTTGCAGAGAGGAGCTTTTGCACACCAGAGGCGTTTTTAACCTTCATTTCGGGCGAAGGGGTTGCATCTGAGATTTCAACATCGCAATTTTGCCGCAGTTTTTGATGCTCGACGCTCATTGCCAAACGGCGACGCTGAACTCAGAAAATTCGCATTTCACCACACACGTTCATGCGTTGGACGCGACGATCCCTGCAGAGGGCCGCCACGCCCGTGCGTCCGACACACAGGACACGCACGATCTCCGCAGAGGGTCGCGTGCTCACCCCCAAGAGAATTCGCATTTCACCACACATTCGTGCGTCTGATACCCACGACCTCCGCAGAGGGTCACGTTTCGATGGACATGGCCGGGCTGCCCCTGCCGCCAAAAGAGAGAATTTAGAAGAACTCGAGGAGCAGAAGTTTTGTAGGAGTTCAGATGCACGTAACGTAGGTCACCTGGAAGCAAACTCGTGTGTAGCAACTCCTGTATAACAACACCTGTGTAACAACTCCTGTCAAAGATCTCCTGCGTAAGAACTCCTATGTAAGAACTCCTGTGCAAATGACATCGTAGGAGTTTTGTAGGAGAGATGTAGCCGCTGAGCACCTGTAGATTGTGTTCATGATGTAGGTGGATGATGTATATGATGTAGATGAAGTTGATGTAGATGAAGTAGAGATGTAGGAGATGTAGATAATGTATGTGATGTAGATGAAGTGGATGTAGATGATGTAAAGGATGTAGGAAATCTTGTGCACATGAAGTGAGAAGTTGAAATTGGCAGCAGTTCTTTGGGAAAACCCTTCGCAGGAGCTTTCGGGAATAACTAGGAGGCCTCAGCTTGGAGGAATAGTGGTTAGATAGATTATTTTGGGAACTGTCATGTTCTCTACCATGGTATATAAACTATGAGGGTTGATTTGCATGGGATTTAATGGCATGTTTTTGTGATGAACCGATAGGTAATGGATATTGAGTAGTACTAGTTTGTTGTGCATCAGCTTGACAAGTTTGGGGCAAATGGCTGGGAAGAATCATGCAGTTGATTCTGGTGCTGTTGTTGCATTGCTATTTGTTGATGATAAAACTGTAAGACAATGGGTGCGGCGTTGGTGAAAACCATTGAAAAATTGGTTTGGAACATGGGCCTATGATTGAATATATATTATTTGGTAAAACACAACTTAAATAACGCATTGAAAAATCACCATGTATACAAACATGTAAATATATAACTTAACCTCTTTCTATGGACCATGTTCAATAGCAAAAACTGTTAAATTACCGGAGGGCGTTGGAAATTCCAGCCCGCTGCAGGAGCAACATGTCGTGTCGAAAGCTGTCTTCGACATTGACAATGGAATCAGTGTCAAAAGTGACGTCATGGAACGGGAGCAGGGAAGTGCCTTGGCATGGCGGATCATGGCGGCATGGCATCCACCATGTATAGATCATGGCCGTTTAGGGTTTAGCGAAATATTTATGTTAATTTACTGGAGGGTATAGCTGTTATTAGTTGTGATTTGAGCAGGGCCCTTCGGTGTTTCACACCGAAGAAGCGAGAGGGCCATCATGGGCAACAAATTAAACGATTATCACTTGCAAACTTCTTGATGCCTTATACACATCAACCAACCATTCTTATGTCTCAACCCTGGCCCCGAACATTCGAAGAACGACTTCTCCATTCTTCCCGAGTTTTGGTGAGCTTTGGTGGGAAACATGATAATTGCGCCTGGTCAAAGGAAACCATTTTTGGTTGCCTAAAACAGACTAACGCATGTTTCCTGTTTCCAGCCAGCCCCAAGCGGCAGTGGCAAGTGATGTCTTGGAGAATCACAAGAGGATACGATTACTGGTTGGATTCCTTTGGTCTCATGGACCTTCAATTCAATGGATTGGTGTAAGCGAAAACCTGGTTTCCTGATGTTTCCTGTACATTTTCCATTGGACCGTTTTTCCAGCAAGGGAATCCATCCCGTTGGTCCAAGGTCCCAATGATGGAACCTGGTGTACGAAACATGTTTGCCTGGGGCTCCCATGATTGCTGGAAGATTTTTGGACCAGGACTCTGTACAGGCAATGCCAAACAAAGACTTTCTGTTGCTAGATGATTAGTAAAGTAATACCTGCTGATGGCTAGCAATCATAGAACCCATTGAAATGACAAATAATATCAAATAATACTAGTAATTTCTCACTGGTTTCATTTTTTTGGTTGCACCGGTTGTCACGGGTCCCTCAACCAACCAGTAGATTGAGGAAGGTGAAGGACAGCGCTAAAAAATGTGACTTGACCACGTCAGCTGTGAGGTCGGGAGTTGGATGATGAAACAAGCAAGAAGCTGCAAGAGTATGAAAGGCACCGTTTTCAAGGGAGTTGGTGATGTCATGATGAGTGACAAAAAAAGCGGCGGCAAGAGTCAAACTGGATGACTCTTTGGTACGAAATCGTCGCCAGATGTAAGGGTGATTGGATACTAAGGCCATGGCCAATCATGGCCATCATGGGAATGGTTTAAGATGGTTCTTATGTTTCTGGAATTGAGAGAAACGATCACAGAAACGAACCAACAGACTTCTAAAAATCCGACCAGCTCTGTGTGTATGTATATACATATATATACATGTATGTATCATATAGATATGATACCCACAACGGTTGACTTTATGCCTCGCCATTTTCGATATAGAATTTCACATAACTCCGCACTCAGCTGGTTGACCCGCAGGAAGTTGGGCCCTCTGAGTCTGATGCCACTGCGCTCGGGTTCCATGCAATCCTCCGCATATTCCATCGATGGTGCGCGGTGATCGGGGATGCGGCTGCTTTGGACGATCCAGACCTGAAAGTTAGATATGCCCTCTGGTTATAGATGGTTTACCTATTAAAAATGGTGATTTTCCATGGCGAACTGCTAAATAACCAGATGGTAGTATGAATAGTTGAGTTAGTTTTTGGTGGTTCCAGCTAGTTTCAGTTACCGACGAAAAGCGAACTGCTTCGCTTTTTGGGGAGGGCACCTTCTTTTTCTGTCGGCACTGCGATCTGGAAAACTGGTTGGTGCTTTCATCCAAGAAACATGCGGGTAGGGGCAACATGAATTAATTAACTCCGATAGCAATTGAAAATCCCCTACAAATCAAGAATTTCTTTAATGGAAACAGAAGGGGTGCCATTGGGGGGTGGAGATGTGCATTTTGTACAATGGAAACATCATCTACATAATGGGTGACCTTGGGAATTGAACTACATACATTATGGGGATGCATTTAGCAATGGCTTGGATTTGCTGAGACTGATGCATCGGTTTTCGCATAGATGATTCCATCATGGGGGGAGTCGGTCAGATTATGGTTGTTTCTCACGGCATATTTTTTGGGGCAAATCCAAGTTTATCTTTGGGGAGAGGGATTGGTTGGTGGTTTCTTCCTTGGTTTCAAGTTTCATGACTCTGATGATTTTGCTTTGACTTGCCGAATCAGCTTGCAGGGTGGGATTTTTGGTGCAATTTTGGTTGGTGAATAGCCCAGTTCAATCTTTCCATTTGTTGATTGGTGAATTTGGTCAATATTATTCTCCTTTGAGGTTGTATCAAAACCTGAACCCACCAATCCTTTGATGATCTTTGTATGTTCGATCATCATATTTACCACTTACCCTCTGGTAATTTAACATAGTTTTGGAAAACCACCGCTTCATCAATGAAAGGACTATTTTACATAGTTAGGTTCAATTAATGGATATTGGATGGTTATTGATTTCATGAATATCTCATTTTTTGCGGATGAACTCTGATTCGCCACCATGAAAAATCTAAAAAAATCGACGGGTCAAATTGCCACATCAATCCCCCCAAAAAAAAACATGCCGCGAGGCCCCCCAAGCCCCATTCCCATCGAAGAGGAGGAAGAGGTGTCGACGGGACGAACGACTGGCACGTCCGGATGTGAAGTCCCATGAATAAGTAAACCAGTCTTTCAGGCGATGTTTCTTTACGGACTTGGTGACTTGCTGTTAGCTGGTGAACTGTTAGTTGTAGCGATGATCCAGGATTGACGCAGAGTGTTACGTTGTTTTCACTGGAAATGATGTACGAATGCTTTCCATATCTACCTAGACATGTTGGTTAACCTAGGTTACTGGAGGGTAAGCACAATTCGCATCCGGCCCGAACAGTTTGACCCCCAAACTCCTGGTCGATTAGCTTACTGGATGGAATACATTCAGGAGAGGTATCTAGCCCCATTGACAGCATTTTGAATCCCTTAGTCCGGGGCATCCCTGACAAACCATGCGAAACCATGCGAAGCCAGAGCTATGGTCGAATACGTTTGAAGATCCATGTCAGATAGGTGGATGATGGCGGATGCCTACCAAAAAAAGAACTCTTTTTTGGCCTTGTTCCTTAGCGAAACCCAAACAACGCCGGCGTCTTCTACGCAGGAAGATGTTGCGGAGACCAATGCCTTTGACCGTTGCTCGAGCAAATTATGCAAAGCTGGGACTGGCATAAGAACTCCAAAAATGATTGGTTCACTGACTCGGCTTACCTGCGTGTTGACTCGTCTGTAGTAAATTTGATAAAACATAAAGCTCCGTTTTGGTGATAGTTGATCCCACAATATACCACCTAATACTACCTATTTCTGACAAAATTGAGTGCGGTTTACCTATTGCCAGGTTCACAACATTACCGGATGTGCTGAAGGTGACGTGCATTTTTTCTACTAAGAATCTAGCTTGACACAATGTCCAGGAAGTATGTTTTCATTTTTAGCCCCAGTTGTGCAAATCCAAACCTTCTGTGGGGTTTTATTTTTTACTGTAATTATATGAAATTGGTAAACCACGTGGGGTTAAGATTGGGCTATTGTGTTTGATAAGTGTCAATGCCAGTGGATATGTGAAGTTTGCGAGATGTTATATTCCACTAAACATCAGCTTCTCAGCTAAGGTCTCTAAGGTCCTTTCAGGTTGCTCATGGTATAATGGAGAATTTGCAGTAACCCCCGTTTGTTTGGGAACAGCATTGGCTACGTTCGAATGTACCATGACTCCTTCTGTCCGGCGCTTTATGTCTAGCGCAGGTTGGTGGTTTCTGGAAAATCCCATCTGGGATGATGATACCCAAGGTAGAAACAACTGAACAGGTTGGAATGAAGACTTGAGCAAACAATGGAAAAAAGTATATCAGATCAAACTGTATATTCATCTATTTCTAGCTTCCTTTTAGGACTTCGCATGATCAAATTCCATCATTGTTTGATGCATCATCCACTTAGATTCACTGGTATAGAATCCGGCCCGTCGATGGACAGGTTTCGCAGACCTCTTCTTGGGGCCTCATTTCGAGTTCGTCATTTGCATGCTGCTCTTGGTGACATGGCCACATGAGTGCTTTTGTTTAAATGAATAAAAATGGATAAACATGGATAAAATATACCGAGCATACCATGTACCACCCCAAACTTTTTTTGGGGGGGAAATGCTGATTCACCAGATTGGGGGAGGTGTTTGATGGAGTTTCCCGCAAATTTTCAGCCAAAGCCATGGATTTTCCATAGTGCATGTTGCGCCATTTTCTCGACCTGGGAGGTCACTTTTGGGAAGATAGAAGCTGTTAAAAAATATCCCACTAAGATATAGTGGTGACATGTGGTAAATTCCCAACAGCAGGGCCTGTTGGGTTTCAATCTCTAGGGCTGGGGCTGGCTCGCGGGGACTTGCAGCCTTCAAAATCCGGAATGAACCCTGGAACCCTGGAACCCTGGAACCCTGGAACCCTGGAACCCTTGGAACCCTGGAACCCTGGAACCCTGAAACCTTGGAACCCCGGAACCCTGGAACCCTGGAACCCTGAAACCTTGGAACCCCGGAACTGAAACCCTGGAACCTTCAAACCCTGAAACCTTGGAACCTTGGCACCCTGGAACCCTCAAGGATTCTGGAACCCTGCAACCTTGGAACCCTGGAACCTTGGAACCCTGCAACCCTGCACACCTGGCACCCTGCTGGGATCCTGGAACCCTGAAACCCTGGAACCATTGGAACCCTTGGAACCCTGGAAACCTTGGAACCCTGAAACCGTGGGACCCTGGTATCCTGGTACCCTGGAACCCTGGAACCCTGAAACCTTGGAACCCCCTGGAACCCTGGAACCCCGGAACCCTGGAACCCTGAAACCCTGGAACCTTGGAACCCTGCGACCGTGGAAGGCACCCAGGAACCCTCAAGGATTCTGGAAACCTCTGGGATCCTGGAACCCTGAAACCCTGGAACCCTTGGAACCCTTGGAACCCTGGAAACCTTGGAACCCTGAAACCGTGGGACCCTGGTGCACTGGAACCTTGGAACCCTTGAAACCCTAAAACTTCCAAACCCTAAACTCTATGCGCGCTGCGCGCGCTGCATGCAATAAAGTAAACCCTAAAACTTCCAAACCCTAAACCCTAATGCGCGGTGCGCGCGCTGTGTCCCAGAGAAGTAAACCCTAAAATTTCCAAACCCTAAACCATCGTGTTATGCAACTTCCAAACCCTAAAGTTTAACCCGCGGTGTGCGCGCTGCATGCAATAAAATAAACCCTAAAACTTCCAAACCCTAAGCCCTAATGCGTGCTGTGCGCGCTGCGTGCCAGAGATAAACCCTAAAACCTTCAAACCCTAAACACTAATGCGCGCTGCGCGCGCTTTGTGCAATAGAGATAAACCCTAAAATCTTCAAACCTGAAACTCTGCAGGTTGGGGGTTCGCCATAACAGTCACGGGTGTGACACCCGGAGGGTGAAAAGATTGAGGCATGGACGGAACAACATTTGGTGCTACTTCATGGGATGATTGACCAACAGAAACCCTGGGGGTAGCCCAAGTAGTTGCCTCTACAACCATTGGATTTGCGACCTCTTGCAGGGGAGCTGAAGTATTTTGTGGGGAACCAAAAGGCCTAGCACGAACATCTGGTGTTTGAGCTGGAGCTGGATTATAACCTTCAAATAGATCGAAGTTATCCATATTTTCCCATTAGGGATTACTCTATGACCCGTGTTTTCTTGGGGAGGATCCGCAAGTAAGTCCATAAGAGCATTACCCGAGACGGGGGAAATCGGAACCGGGGACGCTACAGCCAAGTTGTGTTGGCGCCTGGCTTCTGCCAGCTGTTGCTCAAGGAGAGCAATCCTAGTATCCCTTTCAGTCGTGTCATAGAGGTAAACCCTAAAATTTCCAAACCCTAAACCCTAAACCCTAAGGCGCGCTGCGCGCGCTGTGTGCCATAGAAGTACCCCTTAAAATCTCCAAACCCTAAACCATCGTGTCATGGAGGTTAACCCTAAAACTTCGAAACCCTAAAGTTCAACCCACGCTGTGCACGCTGCATGCAATAAAATAAACTATAAAACTTCCAAACCCTAAACCCTAATGCGCGCTGCGCGCACTGCGTGCCACACACATAAACCCTAAAACTTTCAAACTTTAAACCGTAACGCGTACTGCGCGCACAGCCTGCCATAGAGGTAAACGGTTAAACTTTCAAACGCTGCGTGCCATAGAGGCAAAGCCTAAAACTTTCAAACGCTAAACCGTAAAGCAGGCTGCGCGCGCTGCGTGCCATAGAGTGCTCCTCAAAAGTGATTACATGTCATACTTTAGTGGCATCCTCCAAATTCATTAGTCAGCCTTTGTTAATCCAGGGCCCATTTTACACATGTCATCTTCTTGGTCGTGGCGCCATTTCAGGATCACACTGATGACCTAAGCTTTGGCCTTAACTATTATGCAGGCAAGCGACATCAGCACGCTATGGTATTGGAAGACACAGGGTTTGCCCGTAGACCAGCCAAAAAATCGATTTTCCACACTGAACAATTGGATTTAACACATTTAGAATAGGAGCTCCGCCTGATTCAGATTTCATCACTTAAAAGGTACCCATGCCTGACTAGCCTTCATGACTTAAAGCGTAACCACACCCGACTTAAGGGAACCATGCCTGACTAGCCTTCATAATTAAGAGGTACCCACCCACGCCTGACTTAACAGAACCCATGCCTGACTAGCCTTCATAATTAAAAGGTACCCATGCCCCTGAATTCAGGGAACCATGCCTGACTAGCCTTCACAATTAAAAGGTACCCACTGGAACCATGCCTGACTAGCCTTAATGACTTAAAAGGTAACTACACCTGACTTAATACCTGATTTACTGGTTTTGCCTGATTTTGGAAAAACGCAGGGCCGGAATTTGCCGGGCTGGGATTTTGGGGTCGTGCCTAAATAGGATTTTTGCAAAAATCGTGCATGACTGAAGGGAACCATGCCTGACTAAACATCATACCAATCATCCCAAAAGAATCCAATAATTCCAGCAAGTGATGCCTGACCAATCCCTGCGTCATAATAAACCGTCTGCCCCTCCCCACCCAATAATGAACACACGGAATAGTTTTTTGTATTTAGTGGGTATTTAGTATGAGGGTGCGAAACTTCCCCCTTGGTTTAAAAAAACTAAATTGGAAAACATTTTTTAAATAACATCTAACTAAAATATTGCCAAAATTGGATTCCGAAGCTTCCCCCTGACATTAAATTGAAAACATTCGTTTAAAAAAATGAACTTTATATTTCAAAACCGATTGAATTCCTATTCAAAATCTAACTCAAATCTTGCCAAATTGGATTTCGAAGCTTCCCCTTATATTAAATTGAAAACCTTACTAATCCCCACCTCCTTTTACTAAACGTACCCTAAATACTAAAATATTACATTGATTCCTTTTACTAGGGTCCGCGTTAAATTTTGGGAAATTTCAGGCTGGCCAGTTTGACTTTTAATTGATACCTTTTCAAAAACAAATTAAACATGAAGGTCCCATTTCAGGATTTCACCACCAAAAAATAAAAACTAGTCAGCCCCGGTGATTTTTTAAACTAGGGTCTTTTAAGGTCGAAAAAATAAGTATTTTATATTACAACGTTTATATAATATTGGGGGAAAACTTCGAAATCCACTTTTTGGCATTTCCTGGCAATATTTTTGCTGGATGTCAAAAGGAAATCTAATCGATTCTTGAAATCGAAAAAAACACAGTTTTTTTTATTAGTGTTTTTAATTTAATCTTAGGGGAAAACTTCGAAATCCAATTTTTAGCAATATCTTAATTATATGTTAGACAGAAAACTAATCGATTTTGAAACAGTTTTTTTTTTAATATATTGGGGCTGGTAATTTAATATTAGAGGAAACATTTCGAAATCCGGTTTTTGTTTTTATTTTTGTTACTACAATTTAAAAGGAAATCGAATCGATTTCAAAAAAGAAAAATAATTTTATATTTGGTTTTTTTAATGTAATATGAGGGGAAAACTTCAAAATCCAATTTTTGACCATATTCTAATTAGATTTCAAAAGGAAATCTAATGAATTTTGATATAGAAAAAATAGTCTTTGATATGAGGGTTTAATATGAGGGGAAAGCTTCGAAATCCAATTTCTGGCAATATCTTAATTTGAATTTACAAGGAAATCTAATCGATTCTGAAATAGAACAAATTTAGTTTTTTATATTGGAATTTTTCATGCAAGATTAGGGGAAGCATCGAAATCCAATTTTTGAACATATTTTAATAATTGGATTTTAATTTGATATTAGGGGAAAGCTTCAAAATCAATTTTTTGTTTTTTTCATTAGATTTCAAAAGGAAATCTAATCGATTTTGAAACAGGAAAAAAACAAAATGATATTAGGGTTTAATATAAGGGAAAAGCTTCGACATCCAATTTTTTGGCCATATTTTATTTAATTTTTAAAAGGAAATCTAATCGATTTCGAAATAGAAAAACATACATAGTTTTTTATGTTGGGGGTTTTTATTTGATATTAAGCTTCGGAATCCACTTGTTTGCCATATTTTAATTGGATTTAAAAAGAAAGAAATCTGATCGATTTTGAAATAGAAATATGTGTATATATATATATGTGTGTGTGTTTTTTATCAGTATTAGGGGGAAGCTTCGTACCCTAATACTAAAGACCCCCCCAATACTAAAAACTCCTCCAGGTGTTTGTTATTTGGGTGGGTGGGTGAAGGGGCGACTGTTTAGCAACAGGGGGAAGGGATTAAACCGTTTTTTGTTTCTAATTTCAAAATCCATGAAAATAATCTTTAAATAGAATACTGCCAAGAATAGGATTTCGAAGCTTTCGCCTAGTATCAAATAAAACACCAACACCTGAATTAAAAAACTAAAATTGACGATTTTAAAGGACGGACCCCAATAAAAGACACCCCGGTGTTGACTAGTTTTTTATTCTTTGGGGGTGAAACCCTCACATGGTACCTTCATTTTTTAAATTGTTTCCTCAAGGGGATCAATTAAAAATCAAAGTAACCAATTTGACATTTCCCAAAATTGGAAATCGCACCTAGTTTTTGTCATTTGGGGGTATTTTTCGAAATAGGGAGAAAGGATTAGCAAAAAAAATGCCTGATCAAAATGATGCTGATTCTGTGTGTTACAATCTTTTTGCCCACTACAGTGTCTACAGGGTTACAAGGGATGCCGTGCCAGCTAGAGTCCCAAGTCCATTCAACCAACACCCTAATCGATGAAGTTGGACTTGTTGAAATGGAAGTGGGACTGGACCAGTTGACATGGGGCGATGCTGACCTTCAACGGGAGCTTCGGCGCCTGAAGGACAACAGTTTGAAAATTCCGAACCTGAAATATATTTTCAAAATTGCCTTACTAAGAGTGATCCCCACCCTGACACACTATTCTGACATAGTTTCTGACATATCATCTGGACGTATATGTGGCATATATGTTCTGACATACTATCTTACATTCTTTTCTGAGATTCTATTTGACATTCTTTCTGGCATCCTATCTGGCATCTATTCTGACATACTTTCTGGAATATACTATATTCTGATCCTGCCTTGCCATGAGTTTGGGCTGGGAGTTCTTTTATTTGCGTGGATCAATGCCAATGGCTTGAATATCCACCAAATGTTGGTTTCACATGTTTGCACCCAATGATTGCCATTACCATTGATACCCCAAAATGGCCAGGTCCTGAATTTGAGAGTAGGTCCTGAAAAGTTTTCTGGGTACTGAAAAAACAGGACTTTGGCACAGGGTCTGAAAAAAGACGTAGGTGGAAGATTCAGGTATGCTGTTGGGTTGCAAAGCTGGGTTAATTACTAAACTACATCTTTTTGGGGGGCTACTATATTGTGATTTTGCCAAGATGGATTGGAAGATTTGTGAAACTAGGTTCCCCTGGAAAATGCGAAGAAACGGGGGATCAAAACCCTTCTTTGGGGTGATAATGGTCGAAAAGTAAAACCCTTTACGGAATTGACCAAACAGCTGGATTTTCTTTCTTTACGACGTAGCAAATTATCGATCAATCTTCTATCGCGCTTTGTCTTAAGGGACTTTAAAATGTATTGCGAAATCGGTGGGGCGGGTGTTGGTCAACATATGTCAACATGATTTACCTGGTAAATGGTTTTACCATGTTTTACCTTGGGTCGTTAGCCTTCAATCATCCAAGTTTTCCCATTTTTGGCATCCAATCCAGAAAGATTGAGTCTCAATTGAGTCGTTGGTGAAAAACCGCTACTTTCCAGTCACCTGATGTGCATGGGGTCCCCATATTTGGGTTTTTGGTAGCTCAAAGTTTGAGACTCAGCCGGAGCCGCCATCCAAGTGTGGGAACCCAATCTTGAAACGCCCAGACCAGCCCTGAGGCCTTATGGGCACTGCATGAAATTTGCCCAAATCCATATTGTGGCTGATTCATGGTTAATCAGATTGATTCAGATCCCTATGTATCAATCCTTGTTTGTGCTTTTATTATATTTTATTGGGATATATAGAAATATATAATATACTGTAATATACTGTAATAATTTGATAAATATATATATAAATATACATATGCATGTCTTTACATGCATAGAATAGATACCAGTACAGTATGTAATTCTATATAATTACATGAAGAGCGGTTGTATCCTTTTTATCCACATTTCTTGAGGTCTTCATATCCCTGTGCTTCCCTTGCGCTGACACTGTGCATTTGCCCAGTGCCACCCCCAGGTGAATTTGATCATGATGGCGGCACAATTGCAATACCACGGCATGCGAAACTTGGTGGTAGAGGACATAATCTCTGGTGACTAACCATCCGGACCCATCCGAACATATCAATGAATATTAATATGTCCATAGTTCCATGACCGAGGACAACATTAAGAAAACAAACAGATATCAATATGTCAGGAATATATCATATCAAAAGAGTATTGTATTACATCTAACAATGTTCGTAGTATGTTTGTTCAAAGTCGCCACAGCTGCTGTAGCTCTCCGAAATTACTCCGCCCAGGAACTGGCTATTCGATTTCCTACCCCAGACATCTGACACCTCCGGAGGACCCGCAAACGTCACTGCAAGGATGGAAATTGGATTTGGAATTGGATATAGGTTGGTTTTGACTTAAAATGAAGGGGATATAGTGGGATAATATGGGATGATAAGGTATATAGCCTGTATAGGCCAACAATTAGTTGATTTAGCTTCGGCAATCAAACATGGCTGGCTTGGAAATTTCCGAACTGGATGGTGTTTTTAATGGGAAAATCATCAAGCTGAATGGTGGATTTTCTGCCGCTATAGCTATGTTTGATTACCGGAAGGTAACTCTCCTGGAATGGCCGATCTGTTCAAATCGCAGCGGCGATTTGTGGTGATCCAGCCAGACCTCTTCAGTGTAGTTTGGTATACCTTCTGGTAATTTGTTACATAGCTATTGAAAATGGCTAGGCTATTTATAGTGAATTTCCCATTAATAGGTGATTTTCCATAGTTTTTTCTAAACGTTTACCAGGCCGGGTATGTGTTGCCGTTTTTTGAGGCATGGATCTCAACGGGATCTGAAACCTGGGAGGCGCAAGTGTTTTAGGGAACTTGTCGATGATTCCCAGTGACCTCGGCTCACCAAAAACGCGTATTGCTTCGGGATCTATCTTGGGATTTCGTCTCAACTTGGATGTGTTGAAACTTATTGTTTTTTGATGTTTTATGTTCCCATTGGTAAATCCACGTTTCGATTGTTTTGGATCAGTTGGGGAATCTGGGATTTGTTTTTTTCTCATGGCCCTGTGAATGAAGCAAGGAGATGTGGCCCTATGCTGAGGCGGTCTTCGAGTGGGGAGACTGGATCTTTGCCACTGAGATTGAAGGTTGTCATGGCATGTCATGGCTATGGCGTCAGGTATCGTCAGGTGTTCAGTCACAACATGACCAGCAGATTTCGGAGGTTTCGAAGGTTTTCCCTGGATATTTCCGTGTCTAAACCCATGGATTCCCTGATGAATTCACCGTTCAAGTTTGGCGTGGCCATTTTGGGCGTCGTCTCCCCAACAAAAGATGTGGCCTGCCCTCCAATGTTTCGATATGCGCTATCGTAGGTTGAATACCCATTGCATTGTCCATTGGTTTCCCATTATGTAGTGTTTGTGTATTTGTCCTCAGTTTTTTTTCGTAGTTACCCTCTGGTAATTTATCATAGCTATTGAACATGGCCATAGAAATAGTGAGTTTTCCCATGAAAAATGGGTGGATCTTTCCATGGTTTTTGTATGTTTACCAGGCCGGGTATGTTGTTGCTTGTCGTTTCCCAAAACATCGGGGAACATGGAAAAAAACTGCAAGATGGGATCATCCCGAGCAATCCTCCAACAATCAGCTGACGGAAAGATATGGAAAGTCCATGACGGAGTCCCGGAGTCCTCCCCATTTGTTCATTGTTTTTACCCTCTGGTAAACTAACATAGCTATTGAAAATGGCCATTTATAGTGGATTTTCCCATTAAAAATTGTGATTTTCCATAGTTAGATGTTTTTAGCTTTGTTTTTGATGTGTTTTGTTTCCCGGAATGCTATGTTTACTATTTTTTGTTTTTTCCACCTAGGCCATCATTTTCACCATAGAGATCCTTGGCAGCGATGAATGGTTGCTGGGATGATACCAGGCAAATGGTAGGCCCTATGGAACAATGTCATTGACCTCTTCATCCGTTTCAAATGTGCAAGCTTCAAGAATGCATCCAGAACCCAGAATGAACCATAGAGACTTAGGTGGATTAGACATTGAATATGTTTATCTCTGATCCGTTTCCCTGGTCGCTTTAAAGAGGCCCTCCAATTCTTGTCGACTCAACATTTGACCAGTCAATGCTACATGCCAAAAAGAAACATTCACAAGGCTCACGGGTGTGCCCTGTATTCTCTCAACCTGCAAGTTGGCTTGATTTTGTTGGAAGTTGGAAGTTTCAGCTCAAGAAGCAAGAATTCTCTTTGGGACGTGAATTGTATGATTGTGTATGTAACCAGAAATTTGAATGAGCGTTGGTTTGCCACGTTTGGCGGTAGTACTACTCCAAAAAGCAACGTTGCAGTTAGCCATGATAAATCTGATCCTTGCGGTAATTATACAATAAAACAAATATAAACAAATCATCTACACATGGGTATACCTATTTTCCATTGCCATTTGCTATTGGTTTTGCCAAGCAAGCTGCAGGATCTGCAGGGAAACCAATGTCTTGTAGCCATTGAGAACGCAGGGAAACCAATGTCTGCCATTGAGAACGCCTGTGGCGTTCTCAAATGGCTCGCCTCAAAAATGTGACCAAATCAGAGGCCTCGTGCATTGACCTGTTTTGTTTGCCACCAGGATGTTTATTCGTCTTGGTTGCTTGGCCGCGTGGGGAGGAACATGAAGGAACATGAAGGAACATAAAGGAACCCAAGGTGACATGAAGCTGCAACCTTTGTCTTGTGGTGGGTGTTCATCAAGTTTTCGGATAGAGATATATATATATATATACATACATTTATAAATACACATATGCATTCATATATATATATATGTATATTTATGTGTCTGTGTGTACATACATCTTGCAGGAAGGACTGCTTAATTGTTCACAAACACAACTTTTTACCTGTGGACTTTTGCACGGGCTACCATGGGTACATGGCCCAGCATGTGAAGATGTTTCCTTTGACATTCATTTGCATCGTTTTTCTCCGACTGCACATAGGTTGATGTTCTCGATGAGTGCCGTTAATCTTTTCCAAAGATTCCCAATCTGAGAGGAGATCCGAAATTGACTACTCTTTGTCCGAGTTGAAATGGGTTGAACATGTTGAAGCCACAGCAGATTGCTGGCTGCTCTGTTGCTCCACCCTGGGTGTTTGTGACCCCGAGCTCACGCCCACCCTTGGAGGTGACCTTTCAAAAGACCCGAAAAAAGACCCTTAAACTCCCATGCCATTTGTTGCAACTTGCGGTTTCAGATATGATCTTAAAATATCTAGTGCTCAAAATATCTTCAACATCTAGTTGATTGATCTTAAAATATCTTAAACATCACTAAGCATCTAGTGCTGGGTCTGCCAAGTTCTGCTTAAAGATCTGCCTGGTTCAAACTGTTGAAACCTCTTTTTTGCACACTTCCCTCGGTTCACACCAAGGCAAAATCCGGTTGCAGTTTTTCCGACACTTCCTGAATTGGCGCCTTGGTAAAACTTGAGACGTTTGATTTTGGAGAATATATATATATATGTGTGTGTGTGCGTGTGTAGTATGTATAGTTACATACATATTTGAATATATTTGTTTTAATCTATTCATTCAATGTACCTATGCATATATATATATATACAATAATCATCTAGGGTTGTCTATATACAATGTACGTGTATAATACTTATTTATTCATTCATTCAATGTACATATATGTATATATGTATACATTGAGGGCCCACCATCAAGAATGCATTTTTCATATGCGGATGCGGCCCCAAAAGCGGGCCCTGGTGGCAGCGCCGTTTGAGCACAAGCCGACTGACAGCCAAACGCATTCTCCACTACCGAACTGTGCGGAAACCAACTGCAACGGATTATGTTTGGGAAGGCATGTGGCTCGAAAACAGGCAAGGGGTGTAGAACCCGATGTGGACAAACTCCAAGGAGACCACGCTACCCGAAACTATTGGTCCTCAACCCGCATGTAAATAAAAAGGATCACGCCCCTCCCATCTCTGATTGCGCCCCTCGTACGTCCCGATAACGCCCTTCAAACCCGCATGTAAATAAGGGATTACGTCCCTCCCATCTGTGGTTGCGCCCCTCGTACGTCCCGATTACGCCCCTCCAACCCGCATGTAACTAAGGGATCACGCCCCTCCCATCTCTGATTACGCCCCTCGTACGTCCCGATAACGCCCTTCAAACCCGCATGTAAATAAGGGATTACGTCCCTCCCATCTGTGGTTACGCCCCTCGTACGTCCCGATTACGCCCCTCCAACCCGCATGTAAATAAGGGATCACCGATTACGCCCTTCAAACCCGCATGTAAATAAGGGATTATGTCCCTCCCATCTGTGGTTACGCCCCTCGTACGTCCCGATTACGCCCCGCCAACCCGCATGTAAATAAGGGATTAAGGAAAATTCTTATAAAGTAGGTGTTTGTTTTTTTCAAGTAGGTGTCCAAATCAGAAGACAAGCCGGATCTGAATTAAATTACTATTTATTCAGCATGCCTCTCTGCTGGATTGCGCAAGGAAAAATTCACAATGCGAGCGTTTTGATGCCCCTAATGCTTATTGTCTATATTGGGAACCTGTCGCTGCTAAGACGTATATGCTATAATATGAAATCAACAATCCATTTTGTTCATGAATTTCGAACCTTTAATACAGTGGCACTTGATCTGCTTTGCGCAGTCTCCAAGATGTCAGTCATACTTGACCCAGCAGCCATTTGCAGCAACGGAAAACAGCTTAGTCCTGGGCCGTTTTTTCCCTCATGCCAGACATTACTACAGATGGATTGAAACAGTTTGTGGCCGCAGCCAAGCCGCTTCATCTTGAAAACGGTTGGGCTGACTTTGATCTTGAGGTGGCTAGAGAGGCCTGTCTGCAGTGGACACCGTTGGAAACATGTGAAGCAAAGAAACAGATCTTGAAAAAAATTAGCAGTCTCCTGACTGTAGCGAGGTTTGCTTTGCAGGGAAGCATTGACCTGGAACAGTATGAATTGCAAGTTCCCAAGGCGCCCCCTGCCGATTTCCATCCATGCCAAGACATTTGCACAGTGAAGGATTTAGAGCAAAGGCTGCGAGAGCATTACAGCTACGCTGGCTCTTTGGCCCCTGCCGAAGAACTTTTCAAATACATGGCGAAAAGCATTGATATCAACCAATGACCTTTTGATCATGACTCACTGCTGTCAGTGAGGCAGAAGACGACGACACTGAGCCTCCTGACACGATCATTCCAGAAACTCCTGGTCCCTCTTCGTCGGCAAGCACAAGCCGCCTGACTGAATCCTTGGCGTCCCAAGTGATGAGCCTCAACTCCAAGGTTCATGCCCTGCATTTGCAGAAGTTGGAAGCGGAAAACATGGTCGTACGCATTGCAGTGGACAAGTTGCAGGTGGAGCGTGAAAAAGAAAGAGATGAGATCCTATGGAAGGCCAAGACTGAGACCTTGGATGAGCAAAGGTTGGTAGCTGAAGCAAAAGTTGCCTGCCTCGAGTCCCTGGTTCCACCTGAAGACAAGATGGTGCGTCTGGGTGGCAAAAAAATTAGCCAACCTCGGACATTGGAAGAGTTCAAAGAGCGAGCTCGGAGAGACAAGAAGAATGCCAAGGAATCCGAGCACAAAAAGCGCCGTCTTGCCGAACAAGCTCAGTCAGGATGATGGCCTTGCAAAAGCAGTCTCAAAATGATGGCCTTGTATAGCAGGAGCATGGCCTTGTAAAGAAAGAGCAGGCTTAGAATGATGGCTGACTGAGACGCCGCTTGGAAAAATTGTGTTTCAGCAGTGAGTAGCCAGCTTGCTGGCAATTCCATGGATCAGCTTGCTGATCCTTAAACTTTTAGGTCCTACCTTTTTTGGAGCCAAGCAATGTTCCTGCAATGGGATTTATAGCAATCATCTCAGAATCTTGTTTTTCAACGAGTCATTTCAAACCACGTGCAGAATTTCGTTGACATATTCCTCATTGCCAGTAATTGCGAAAGGCTGTCTGCAGGTCAGTAAGGTAAGGGCCTTCACCGGATGAACTTGGTAATGATACCAGGCTCTCAGTTCAGACAATTCATAAATCATCACCACTGACGGCGACCTTTGCTCCCACAAGCTCCACTACCACAAGCTCCGCTACCACAAGCTCCGTTACCGCAAACTCCGCTACCTTGTTACCTCACAAGACCCACCTTCTAAATCTGACTCCTCCAGCGACCCTCCTTCAGCCAAACAGCTGCTGCAGAGACAGAATCTACAGCAAATCCATAGCCCAGCGCAGGAACAACAGCGACTGCTAAGCTGATTGATTTCTCCATTGATTAAAACGCGCACGCGATTGACTGTATTGCTGGTGAATAGTTTTGAAAGCCAGCTGGCTGGCCTCGTCATGTTTCCGATCACCTTCTCCACAACATGTCCCCTATAATAGTTCCCCACAAGCCTTGCCAGCAAATCCTCGCCTCCGCGCGGCGCTGGCGGGCTCGACTTGGCACTGTCGAGTGCGAGGGGGATCTTGTAATGCAAAGTTTTGAGGGTGACAAAAAACAAAAAAAAGACAAAAAAAGGGATGAACAAAATCAAAAAAAAAAAAAAGGAAGAGAATTCGGAGAAGAAAATCAGATGTGCGATCTGATGAGCAAAAAGATTCAAATAAAAAGAGCTGACCACTGCGGTCCGAGCACAAAAAAAAGTGCCAATTGATAATTAATAAGGGTTTATCCCCAAAGTTGGGTTTTGGGGTTTTGCTTTACTGCTTGGCTCTTGCCAATGCTGAATGCTTTGCTGCTCCAACTGCCGCGTGTGATCCCACGCCTTTTGGATGCATCTCTGACCAGTGGGACTATGACAACAACTGCACAGGCCCGTTCGGGGCCCCCGTAGACAGTGGGCGCGCGCATGCGCCGAAGCAATGTTTGGCAGATGCACCTCTTAGTTCTGCTAGCTTTCCTGCGGCTGTGTTCTTTGACGCTGCTGCGGTTAATCGACAGTTAGCAATGACCCGCAATACAACTTGGAGGGAGTTTCCGGCTGCGCTGGGCGGCAGCTACTGGGACATCACTCTACATTTTGTGACTTCACTGCAAGGAGCTGACAGAAACTTGGTGAGTTTGTCTTGGGTCTTTGCATTTTTGTCATCTCTATGGTGTGATTACTCACTTGGAGACTTTGACAGATTTAGAAGACTGAAACGCAAACGCACGCGAAAACGAAAGGAGTTGAAGTGTAGACGTGGACAAAGGCAATACAGACAGTTGCTCAAACTGAAACAAACGAACAAACGAAAGTGTTTTGCATGTCGAAAGTGCGGACGCCGTAGACTGTTTTCCCCTCGTGTTGGTTATCGAAAACGAGCGTGGTTCAAGCGAATTGCTGCACAAACCTGGACGCATCTCTCTCACAGTAAGGTTGCTTCCCAGGTTCTGGAGATCCCTGCTGGGTTCGGGCCCCCGGTTTTCGAGAAGGGTACCCAACACGTTCCCAAGGACTTTCAGGTTGCTTTCCCTGCTGGTCTTCCTTTTCATGCAGGTGCGGGAGGTAGTGCTACGACCGCTCGTAAACGTAAAGAAGATCAACTTTTGAAAGGTTTACAACAGCTGCTCTCTAGCATCGAGGATTCCCCGGAGGAACCGGATCGCTCAAGGTCGCCTAGTCCTGGGTGGCAGGTCAAAGGCAAAGGTAAGGAACGAGGTCGCTCTCCTACCAAAAGGAAAGGGAAAGGTAAAGGTGGGTCGGCTCCTGCCCTGTCTCCGGAAAAGCCTCTCAGAGGTCGATCTAGCTCCCCCAAACACGTTACTTTTCAAGAGGGTAATGGTTTGTTGGGGCAACTCAAGGCCTTGGTTCTTGAAGCCGAGGTCAATGGGGAAGGCAATCTGTTCCAAAGGTTGAAACATCTTGTTATGTCGTTTTCTCCCCCAATTCCTGGGCCGAAACGTAGGCCCAAACCGGACCCAAAAGTGGTTAGGGACAAACCAAAACATGAAGCAACTGAAGCTACAGCCAAGGAAACGCCAAAAGGAATGGTACCGCGTATAAAGTTGGATCACACTTGGTGGAATGAAAGTCTTACTTCTCTCAAAAGATTATATGAAGCGTTAGATGTGGCAGAGGAGCCAGGTGGTACCCTTTCCACGGCTTCTTTCCGGGATGTCGTTCAGATTAGGGCTCTAGCTGAGACGCACAACCTGACCAAACCTTTTGCGCTCATTACCTTCGACGAACCATCCAAAGAGGAAGTTGACCAGCACAAAGGTCAGTTGAAATGGTGTCGGTTAGCTAAAGGCCAGTGGAAGAAGTTGCTCGTTTTTCCCTTGCGTTCTGACATGCCACAATGGCCCGAAGAACCTACAGTGGTGGATGTTTCCAATGGTCAGCCAAAGGATACTACTCTTGATACTTACCGTGTCATTTTTCCCAAGAGGTTCTTGACTTCCTCCCAATGGGAAACCGCCACCAAAAAGCCAGCCACACTGCTGGCG